GGGAGCTGGAAAAAAAAGGGGGGAGGTAGGGGGGAGGGGGGGGAGAGGAGTAAGTAGGGTTTGGCAGCTATTCTAGAGACACAGAGGGAGGGAGGAGACGGCAGAGCACCGGTTAGATAGTTAAAGGAGAGGGATCTGACGGGTGTGGGGAGGAAAAGGGAAAATGATAAGGAAATGTGAGAGTGGTTCGCCGCTGCACCGACGTCGATATGCTGAAAGTCGATCATCAGGCGAAGCTCTGGGCGGAATAATGGGACAGACAGATCAAACTTGAAAAATGGTAAGAAGTTGGCATGGAACTAGAGTAGCAGAAATCCAGAAAAGCAGGGGGGCAGGCAGGGAACTCTCCTTCTGCTTAATACAACGGACCAATTGAGAGAGGCAGAGTACAAGTGGAATGACACGCACGCAGATAGGCCAAATCGCAGGAATTTCAAGTTGGGCATGACAATGGGAGCTTCAGGTGTGGGGCCATAGAGGTAATTCCTGGTCAGAGCACTGTAGGGGCGACTTTTGAGTCGACTCAAAGGACATACAAAAGACACATGGGCTCACAGGAATTCCAAGTTGGGCATGACAAGAAGGGCTTCAGGTACGGAGCCGTAGAGGTAGTTGCTGGTCAGATCTCTGCAGGGCCGAGGTTGGAGGGGAGAGGGCGGGGGGGAGGGAGGAGGGGGAAGGGAGGAGGAGGGAGGGGGAAAGAGAGGACCGGGTGGGAGCATTAGCGACATAGCAGGATTAGCAGAGCAAGGAGAAGGAATACATACAACGGGTGGCTTCGGGCTCGGGAGCTGCAGAGGAAGTTGCTGAGCAGGTGTGTGCAGGGAGGGGAGGGAGGAGATTCTAAAGGGTAGGAGACAGGGAAAGTGGAGAGCGGTGGAGCAGAGAAAAAAGGGAGTAGTTTCGTTAAGGGAATTATCTGAAAGGGGATTTGGAATCGAGAAGAAAGCAGTGGGGTGAAGACAAGAGAACGGGAGAAGGGGCTGGGGAGACATCACCAGATGTGGTTTTTGAGAATTCTCAAAAATCACCAGAGGGACTGCGGGCGCTGGACAGTGTGTGGAAACTGTCGATAAGGAGCAATTGATATCATAGAGATTGCAGCGAAACTGGTGCTTATCGGGGCTGCTTATAGCACGTACATGTATGCGATGGCCTTGATCTCGAGGAGAGGGGCGACGAACTCGGTGAGCTCCACGCTGAAGAGATTCATCCCCAGGTCGCTGCAGGGGAGAGGAGAAAGGGGCGAGACGGGCAAGGGGAGGAAGGGGAGAAAAAGGAGTAAAGTCGATGAGCTCGGTGAGGCAACGGGTGGGAGGATGAACTCGGTGAGGCAACGGGTGGGAGGATGAACTCGGTGAGGCAACGGGTGGGAAGATGAACTCGGTGAGGCAACGGGTGGGAGGATGAACTCGGTGAGGCAACGGGTGGGAGGATGAACTCGGTGAGGCAACGGGTGGGAGGATGAACTCGGTGAGGCAACGGGTGGGAGGATGAACTCGGTGAGGCAACGGGTGGGAGGATGAACTCGGTGAGGCAACGGGTGGGAGGATGAACTCGGTGAGGCAACGGGTGGGAGGATGAACTCGGTGAGGCAACGGGTGGGAGGATGAACTCGGTGAGGCAACGGGTGGGAGGATGAACTCGGTGAGGCAACGGGTGGGAGGATGAACTTGGTGAGCTCCACGCTGACTCAGCGTGGAGATTCATCCTAAGGTCGCTGCAGGGGAGAGGAGGAAGCGGCAAAGGGGAGGAAGTGGCAAGGGGAGGAAGCGGCAAGGGGGAGGAAGCGGTAAAGGGGAGGAAGCGGCAAAGGGGAGGAAGCGGCAAACGGGAAGAAGCGGCAAACGGGAGGAAGCGGCAAAGGGAGGAAGCGGCAAGGGGAGGAAGCGGCAAAGGGGAGGAAGCGGCAAAGGGGAGGAAGCGGCAAAGGGGAGGAAGCGGCAAAGGGGAGGAAGCGGCAAAGGGGAGGAAGCGGCAAAGGGGAGGAAGCGGCAAAGGGGAGGAAGCGGCAAAGGGGAGGAAGCGGCAAAGGGGAGGAAGCGGCAAAGGGGAGGAAGCGGCAAAGGGGAGGAAGCGGCAAAGGGGAGGAAGCGGCAAAGGGGAGGAAGCGGCAAAGGGGAGGAAGCGGCAAAGGGGAGGAAGCGGCAAAGGGGAGGAAGCGGCAAAGGGGAGGAAGCGGCAAAGGGGAGGAAGCGGCAAGGGGAGGAAGCGGCAAAGGGGAGGAAGCGGCAAAGGGGAGGAAGCGGCAAAGGGGAGGAAGCGGCAAAGGGGAGGAAGTGGCAAGGGGAGGAAGCGGCAAGGGGAGGAAGCGGCAAGGGGAGGAAGCGGCAAGGGGGAGGAAGCGGCAAGGGGAGGAAGGGAATGAGTGAAGAAAGGGGAGTAGAGGTGAGTAATGAGTCGATTTATGAGCCGACTCAAAACGTTAATGAGTCGATTTATGAGTCGACTCAAAACGTGTGTAATGAGTCGATTTATGAGTCGACTCAAAAGCAGAGTGTGAGCGCAGAGAGAGCAGGGGAGGGAATGGAACCGACATGGAAGTGAGCGCAGTGAGAGCGCTGAGGTCGGGGCTGAGGTTGCCCGCGAGGTTGAGGAAGTTGAGCACGCTGCGCGGCAGCAGGGGGGGGGGGGGTGGGACAGGGGAGGGAAAGCAGGAGGGTGATTGGAGGGCTTCAAAGAGGTTCGACACGAGGTGATTCATGAGATGGTGGAGCACGCCGCGACAAGGAGAAGAGGCAGATGGAGGAAATGCGGTGCCGAGCGGGCCATGGGACCGGGACTCGTCAGAGGAGTAGTACATCACAAAAATGTGGACCTCTCCTATATTGTAGGTATAGTTGTTCGTATAGCAAGGCTACTCCGTAGCAGACGTACCTATGCCATACCTACTGTATACCTACTCCGTATTTCTGATCCTGGAATTTTGGGATGTAGAAGAGTTGACTCACAGAGAGACGGGCTGACCATTGGAGTCGCAGCGGACATACGTCCACCCCTCCGACGACGGCTGCACTTCGCTCTCCGGAGTGCAGCTCTGCTTGGGCGCCCAGTCGGTCACCGGCACCTGCGCGTCGTCCAGCAACTGTAGCAACGCCGCCTCTGCAGCGCGATGGACGTGCGGAAACGACAAGAACGCACGGAAGAAAAGGAGAACGTAAGAGGGATTGACTCGAAGAGCCGCGGTTACAGCATTGAAGTGAGGTCCGCTTTTGAGTCGACTCAAAAAGCAGACTCCGAATCTGACGAGAGCCGGTATCAGTACAGCTGGAAGTTCATTCCGAGCATACTAATACTATGATAGGCCGGGGTAGTCTGCTTCTGAGTCGAATCAAAGAATTTGGAAGAGTACTACTACCTTCCAGGAGAGTACTTTAAGGGGCAAAGGTTCGTATGCAGATAAGAACCTGCGTCGCCTGGCATCTGTCGTCGCAGCTGTCGCCTGCGAAGACAGCTGCGATTATTGTAGCAGCAGTAATCTCTCAGGAAGTACTAGTTTAAGGGGAAAGGTACTAGTAGTACCTGCGTCGCGTTGCATGGTGACGCCGCTCGCCGACGACAGCTGCCAGCTGAGTTGCGAGAAGAACAGCAGCGCAACGAGAGCTGGTTGTATCGACGACCGGCGCCATGGATGCTCGCCGACGCGATCGGCCTTTTGAGTCGACTCAAACGACGACCGGCGCCGTGGATGGACGCCGACGCGATCGGTGGCCGCGGCTAGGCGCGGAGTCATTATGGACGTCAGCTGGCGCGAACCTTTGGGGGAAGGAAATTCAGCTAATACCACTATTGCCGTTTAATCTTCAAGCTGCAGGCTTCGCCGCTTAGCCTAGCGGTGCTGACCCTTGAGGCGCGTCAAGTTTGTCAGTTGCGCATCCAAACCTTGGGCTATTGGGTCTAGAAGTTGCCTTTTTTTATTTCGTTCTAGGGTTTACTCTCCTGTTTAGCACATACGAGGGGGATGTAATCTCCATCCAACCGCGGAAACGCTACGGGCCTTTCTAGCAGCCGAAAATCTCCCGTCAATAAGATGGGAGATGGGACAGGAAGTGCTCGCTTATCAGCGAGCTGAAACGAAGCAAGAGCTGATTCCACTGTGCCCCTATTCTCTAGTGAGTGAGGAGGAGGCAGTGAGCAAAGTAACAAAAGAAGCTCGAGTCACATTTCCTGCGCTTTCGATGAGTCTCTCGGGAGCAAGCTGGGCGTCAGTGACCAGTTCCGTTCCGAGGAGCCATGGGCCCCATTACACAGTGCCAGGTTATGCACGCATTACAGTTGAGGGAAATGGTTGCAGGTGGATGCTCCTCCCAAATCACTTTCGATCTGCAGAGGAGGAGAGCAGGAGGGAAATGAAAACCAGCGTCCTGTCGGACAAAGACGTACTCCGCTCATCGATGTAACCAGCTTTAGGTGCACAGCTAGGTTCGGAAGGCGCAAGATATAAAGGGCAAATTCGTGTCCTGAGTACTACCAGCTGTAAAATGTTCACAGTCTTGGCTAAGCGTCCGCTGCAAGAGAAACCAGGCTCCGGTTCGTGACATGAAATGACCTCTGTTGGAATGACACGGAAATAACAATCTACGTCTTGAACACTCCTGACTGATGGTTGGCATGTGCGGTGCGAGCATTAATTCTTCCCGAGACGCGCATTTGCCTGACGCATGCGCCTGATGCTTAGCAGATACGGTATCCAAAGCTTCGCGAAAAGCACGGATTGACAGCCCGTGGTCGTTGCTGGAGAACTCTGTTACGGCATTAGCGACACATGACGAGAGGAGATTTTTGTAACCCTTTTCGACCAATCTATTTTCCAGGCGAGCTGTTGATTTCATGTTCGAATTTCCCACCTGACCAGCTGTTCGTTGTCGTCGTGTGTGGACCTGAACAGTGCCAGCCCCCTTGACTTCGTTGGTCTATCCAACGACTGTAGCCGCCACCAGAACCTTTCTGTTGGTTGAAAGGGCGGCCTTGCACGTCACGTCGGTCGTCATGGCACAACGTGAGAAAACGGATGTATAAAAGCTTACTCGGAACAAAAATTAGTCGAATGTAGATATCCTTACGATAATATAACAGCTGAAGACTTCAAATCCATGGCATCCAACCCTCATACATCTCACAGAGGTTATCAGAACTACATGCCTCCACCATCAGCTTCCCGACCACCCTCTTAGTCGAAAGCATCTCCTCAGAAGAAAATAGAAGCGGGTCCCGTTTATTGAGTTTCTGCTGCAAATTGAAAACCACCTGCTCCGCATGGTGCCGGGCCTTGGTCTCTGTGCTAAGTGAAACATGGCAAGCAGAGGATAGGCGAGAGAGCGGCGTGTTGTTGAGTTCCAAGCAAGTACACGAGAATCGATGTGGAAGGAGAGTCAACAGGAAACATGAAGCGTGCTTGCTACACCAGCAGAGAGTGCGCCCCTATGTCCCACGTACCTCGTTTGCAAACAGCCCTCACAGCAGCAGCGAGTGCTTCCACCGACACCAGCCCTGCTGGCACCATCCCTGCTGGCACCATCCCTGCTGGCACCGTCCCTGCTGCCACCGTCCCTGCTGCCACCGTCCCTGCTGCCACCATCCCTGCTGGCGCCAGCCCTGCTGGTGGTGACTCTGCCAGTGCTGCCAGCTGTCCTCGCCCGGAGAGACGGAGAGCGTGCAGGGAGGAGAGGGTGGTGTGTGCGAGACGAGTGACGGATGGGACGAGAGAGGAGCATTGGCAGTGGAGGGAGGAGAGGTGGAGGAGAGAGGACAGGTGGTGGGGGTGAGAGGAGGAAAGTGAGGAAGTTGCTCCTTGGACCTGCAGGGAAGTAGTGGTTACACAAGAGGGAGGTTTAGAAAGCAGAGTGGGGGATTGGGTAATCTGGGCGGTAGACTGTGGTTCATATGCATGATTGAATGGTTGGGCACAATTCGTTAGGGGCACACAGATGGGTATGCATGGCTGGATATGAATGGGTAGATGCATATCCAGCCATGTGCGTTGATGCATCTCTGAGTTTGGAGTCAATGGAGTCAATCCTTACTGATTCAAGAAGGCCAATGAAAGTGCGACACTCTGTCTGGACGCTCTCAGCACATGTGACTGTATCGGGTGTGATTGTCGCAGAAAGAGCAGAGCTGTGCAGCGCAGATGCCCCAGCTAAGACCTTTGGGAGTGCAGAGGGGGGATGTAAAGAAAACGAGAGATGGGAAGAAAGAGAATGGGAGATGAGGGAGCGGTGGCGAGGAAAAAGGAGCGACGTTGATGATGTTAGAAAGAAAGGGGCGGAGCACAAATAAGAGACATGGTGTTAGGGATGATAGAAACCAAGGGGTGGAATGAATTGGCAAGCGTTGACCAGTCTTGACCAGCATTGACAAGCGTTGACCAGCGTTGACCGGCACTGACCTCGTGAAGGAGAGGCAGGATGGAGTGGGCGAGGATGGGAGCGAGGTTGGCAGCAGCCAATGAGAGGGCAGCTGCTGCCTGATGTGCTTGGGAGAGAGCAGCGCTGTGATTGGCTGATAGTTGCTGCAGTGTGACTGTAAGGGGGGGGGGGGGGACAAAGAAAAGGGCCGATGGATGTGGATGCTGAAGGGACCGCAGAGAGATGGGATGTCAAAGTTTATGCCGGCTGAATAGCCACCTGAAGGCGCTGTTATAACCCCTGAGGTGAAGCGATTTCACCTGAGAGCTTCTTATCGCAATAAGAGCTTGGTGTAATTACCTGAGATCCACTCACCTGACATCCTGTCGACTCACCTGAGTGCCTATTCACCAGCGCCTGAGCCTCCTGCCTCCTCTCTGTTGTTTCCACCTGAGACGCTCGAGCTGCCTTCTCTGCCTGCTGTGCTGCCTGCACCAGGACTGAGGAGGCTGCTTGGGAATTGGAGGGGGAGTGGGGGGGGGAAGAGGAGGCCTTGTGGGACTTAGACCTTTTAGACTTCTGAGATGTCTCAAAAGTGCGAGGTATTCAGACGGGCTGGAGAGGTTGCTTGGATTTTTTAGAATGATCAGAAAGGTGCAAATGATGCAGGGCGGATAGGTGGGCATGCGGGTGGGGGGTGGGGGGGGGGGGGGGGGGGGAGGGTGAGAAGGGAAAAAGGGAGGGCGAGAAGCAGATCCAGAGAAAGGAGGAGAGGGGGGTAATGCGAGCGATAGAAGCGCCTTCTCTTTTCCCTACCCTAACAATTCCCCTTCTGTCAGCCCCCAAGTTCTGAGGCTCCTTTCCATGCCTTGGCCGTACCCCCCCTCGCTCCAACCACACACTCTTTTCTCTTCCCTCTTTCCCCTTCCCCCTCTCTTCCCAAAACACCTGATCCCTCTACCCTTCTCACCTGCCACGTCAGCAACTGCCCTGTCCACGTCCATAAGCAGAGGCCCGTATACAGCCGCAGCTGGCCGCCCACCAGCTGGCAGGCCGGAGGGGAACAGAGGCACCGGAACAGCAGCAGCAGCAGCAGAAGAAGCAGCGTTGGCTGCAGCATTGGCAGCAGCACCAGCGGCAGCGTTGGCCGCAGCATTGGAAGCAGCAGCAGCGCTGGCAGCAGCGTTAGCGGCAGCATTAATGGCAGCAACAGGATCTTTGATCACCCTGCCATCCCTCCCCGCCTCCAGCTGCAGCACCCGCCCCACCGCCTGCACCACTCTCCCCGCGCCCTCGTGCCCCGCCCACAGCACCTGCCGCCGCCGCTGCTTGCGCTCCACGTAGGCTGCGGGGAGAGAGGCGTGCGATGCTGGTGGCGCGGCTGCTGATTTCCCGCTGATAATGCTTCTGGTGGTGGTGCTGGTGCTGGTGGTGCTGGTGCTCATGCTAGTGCTGGTGATGCTGCTGCTGGTGTTGGTGCCGCTGGTGGTAGTGGTGGTGGTGGTATACCACCAGAAGAGCAGGCGGTCCAGGTCGGCTTCTACAGTGGTGCCTGCCGCCTCCCACATCTGGATGGCTTCTGTTGTCTTTAGCACCACGGCCAAATCAGCGCAGATTTGGCTTAACAGGGCACTGCGTGACGGGGTTAGCTGCTGCTGCAGCTGTGGCCTCGCGGACTGCTGCTGCTTCTCCCCTGCTACGCCATCAACTTCAACAACACTATGAGCGGCGTCACCAGAGCTTGTTTCCAGGGCTACAGGAACAGCGACGACAGGTGTCACAGTGCCAGGTGTCACAGTGCCAGGTGTCACAGTGCCAGGTGTCATGGTGCCAGGTGTCATGGTGCCAGGTGCCACAGTGCCAGGTGTCACAGTGCCAGGTGTCACAGCAACAGGTGTCATAGTGCCAGGCGGCAGCTGAGGTTCGTGCAGCCAGTCAAAGGCCGCCAGCTCGGCACGTGCCGCAGCAAGGGCTGCCACGTGTGCAGCATGCGTGGATGGGGATGGCTTGGGTATGGTGGGGGTAGCTGAACGCCGCTTGCTGTCTCTAGCAAAACACCTGCTGACCTCAGCATGGCAGAACTGACCAATGAGAGACGAGAGCTGCAGCACTTGCTTGTCCACGTGCTCAGCACCAGGAGCAGCAGAGCCAGCAGTACCAGCCTCAGCAGTATCACCAGCGACAGCATCACCAGCGCCACCAGCGTTGGTAGCACCACTTGCAGCAGCCGCACCAGTGGCTGCTACATCCCCTCCAGTAGCATCCTCAGACACAGCAGCAGCAGCGCCAGACACAGCAGAAGCAGCAGACACCACACCAAGTGCAGCAGCCAGATTGGCAGGGTGCAGGAACTGCCTGAAGAGACACTCCACCAGGGGCCTCAAACACTCGCTGGTGTAACTCTGCCGCCAATCAGAGGCCAACACGTGGAGCTTGTTCAGCAGCAGGGCATGTCTGTCTTCCTGCCTTGTTGCTTGCCTCTCTGTCTTCGCCTCCCCACTACTAGTGAACACGACTCCAGGCTTTGCATTAGCAGCAGCCTCACCAGCAGCATCCTCACAAGTAGCAGACTCATTAGCAGCAGCCTTACGAGCAGCAGCTTCTTCTGCTTCCCCGTGCCTCTCCACTGCAATGTCCCCTGCCCCTGCTGCTTCGACCTCGGCCAGACAGGCGCGCAGCACTGCCGCCACCAGTTGCACCCGCACCACAAACAGACGAGCCGAAAGCGGCAGGTGGAGCAGAGTGGGATAGCGTGGAGAGGAGGTTGTTCTCCCTGCCTTGACTTCGGGAGAGTCAGCAGTGGAAGAACGACCCCCAGTCAGCCCGTCAGCAGCAGGCAGATGGGAGGAAGCTGAGGCGATAGGAGCAGGTGGGGCACCGGTGGCAGCAGAGATAACGGACGCTGGGAGCAGGGATATGAGGGAGACGTGTGCAGCAGAGAGAGAGTCAAACGATTGGTAGAGGCGGACAAGAGGAGAGATGGCGTGAGAGGAGGAGGGTGGTGGAAGAGCAGGCAGGCTGGGCCGTTGTGAGGGAGAAAGAGGAACGCCAGATCTCTGAGCCGATAATCCAGAAGGCGCTGATGCTGATGAAGATGACAGCGCGGCTGCTGCTGCCGCTGCCGCAGCTGCTGCCTCTCCCTGTGTTGCTGATGGGGATGGTGATGCTGCTGCAGGGTCAGACGTAGCACATGCTGCAGCACGGGCAGTGGAAGCAGCAGCAGCAGAAGCAGCAGCTGCTGCTGCAACAAGGGCAGCTGCTTTGGCTGACGCAGCCTTGGCTGCGGCAACAGCTGCTGCTGCGGACGCTGAGGAGCTAGAGAGGGAAGGCATAGCAGGGGGAGCAACGGGCGCAGCACCAGCAGGCCCAGCAGCAGCCCCAGCAGCAAGAGACGGAGAGAAGGAGGTCGCTTGGTGCACCATTGCCTGTCTCGGCACGAACGGGGCGGCGTGAACAGTGTCTGCCAGCTGGAACTTGGGCTTGGGCGGCGGCGAGGGGGAGGGAGAGGAGGAAGGCGAGAGAGAGGAGGAGAGCGATGAGAGCGTGGAGGCAGCGGAGGGGATGAAGGGAGCAGGGAGGGGAGAGAGTGCGCTGGGCGACTTGGACGGTGTGGAGGGGAGAGAGGATGCGAGGCGGAGAAAAGGGGAGGAGGTGGGCGAGGGGGAGGGAGAGGGGGAGGGAGAGGGAGGGTGCTGTTGATGTGGGAGAGCAGGAGAGGAGAGCGCAAGTGGCTGCTCCATCCTCTCCGTATCTCCCTGGTCCTCAGCATCCGCTGCAGCAGCAGCATCACTCACACTAACATCAGCACCAGCACTACCACCAGTACCACAAGCAGCAAGTGAACCCAAGAGCCCTTCAACCGTCCTCTCCTCCTCCTCCAGAACAGCCAGCAGCCGTGGGTCACTGGCAGAGCACCCACGGCCTGCAATGCCACCATTCGCACTGCCACAGTGGCTTTCCCCTCCCCCCATACTATCACCGTCTCTTTTGTCACGTTCAACCAAAGTCATACTTCCCTGCACCAGGCACTCCACCCTGTCAGAAGCTTCCAGGAACTGGGCCACTAGCGGGGAAGAAAACGCCTGGCCAGAAGAGACCTTATCTTCGATGAACAGGCTTGAAACAACCTTTGGCAGCAGGTGGTGGCGGTGGCGGGAGGAGAGGGAGTCAGTCGCATGAAGAGCGGTCAAGGCAGCTTGCATGCACCTGTGGAAAGTATTGAGGGGAATCTTTGGGGCAGGCTGCTGCTGGATGCTGTTGGAAGGGACAGCAGGCTTGGCAGCAGCAGCTGAAGCAGAGTTAGCAGCAGCAGTAGCCGTTGGAGTAGCGTCCGGAGCAGCATCAACATCAACATCAGCATCAGCACCAGCATCAGCACCAGCATCAGCACCAGCATCAGCACCAGCATTAGCACCAGCATCAGCATCAGCACCAGCATCAGCACCAGCATCAGCACCAGCATCAGCACCAGCATCAGCATCAGCACCAGCATCAGCATCAGCATCAGCACCAGCACCAGCATCAGCACCAGCATCAGCACCAGCATCAGCACCAGCATCAGCACCAGCATTAGCACCAGCATCAGCATCAGCACCAGCATCAGCACCAGCATCAGCACCAGCATCAGCATCAGCATCAGCACCAGCACCAGGATCAGTATCCGCAGCAGCATCAGCATCAGCATCAGCATCAGCAGTAGCATTGCCAGTAGCATCAGGAGAAGCATTAGCGTCATCATCAACATTGTCTTGAGAGAGCGGGGGGCGTGAAGGCAACCGCGCAGGAGGGGTGGAGGGGGGGGAGGGCAAGGGGGAGGACGCAGAGGAGGCAGCAACGGTAATAGAAACAGGAAGAGGAGGCACTAGGGAAGCGATGAGGGGGGTTGGAACAGAAGGCATGGATTCTTCCCTCTCCCTTACAGCAGGCAGAGTCGCCTCTCCCTCTGCAGTGGCATGGCAGCTTGCAGCTGCGGCTGGTTCATCCAGGCCTCTGCTTGACACGCTGTCAGCTGAGTCAGACTGCCTTGTTGTCAAGTCGCCAGCTGTCAGCTGAGTCAGCAGAGAGGCCAGGGCGGGCCCAAACTCGAGTCTGTGCTCCAGCCGTGCTTCCTCCCGTGCTCCCTCTAATTTCTCCTCCTCAAAATGGGCTCCCTCACTGGAAGCACCAGCAGCATCTGCACCTGAAGCTGCTGCTGCTGCTGCGAGCCCAACAGCCTTCACCAGCGCATGCACAGAACTCGGGCTGCTCATTCCCCTGCCCACTCCTCTTAGCACACCCTCAATCTCCCGCAACACTCCCTTGCGCCGCTCCTCAATCCCTTCCTTCTTCTTCTGCTTGCTGCCCCCCTCCTTCTCCCCTTCCTCCTCCCCTGCCTCGCCCCCTGCCTCGTTCCCTTGCTCGCCTCTCCTCTCCCCGTCCACCGCCTTCAAAGACTCCGCTACTGCTTTCACCAGCACCTGCCATCGTTCTATCAACTGCTTCTCACCACCGCCACTGCTGCTACTGCTACTGCTACTGCCGTGGCTCTCTAACATCCCTTCTCTTCCTCCTCCTTCCATCGCCCACACTCGCCTCCCTCCCCCCACCCCCCTATCCACTCTACCCATCTCATCCAACGCCCCTCTCGCTGCCTTTGACTCTTCCCTCATCTCCCCCTCCCCCACCCCCTCTGGCAGCGCCTGCAGCCCTGCTGCTGTCACCGTGGCTTCCAATGCCCGTGCCCACCGGCTCACTGCACTGGTGCTTAGGTAATTGTTAATGCTCGCTGTGGTGCTCAGGTAAGTATTGACGCTCGCTGTGGTGTTGATGGCCGGCCCTGATGGCTTCCCCGGCCCACCCCGCCTCCCTGCCTTCGACCCCATCCCGCCTGCCATCACCGCTGCCTCCCCATAGGCCCTCAGCGAGCCGGCCAATCGCAGCACGGCGCGGCAGCGGGCGGCTGCCAGCTGGCAGACGTGGAGGTCCAGCTGGCGACAGCTGGCGCGAAGGGCCTCTGGGATGACTGTGAGGGGAAGTGCAGTTGGCTGCTGCTGTGGTTGCTGCGGGTGCTGCGGGTGCTGCAGGTGAGGAGGAGCAGAGGAGGAGGAGGAGGAGGAGGATGAGGTGTTGGTTGCAATGCCCAGAAGAGAAAGTGGGTTGGCAGTTGGAGGTGATGTCAGCAAAAGTAATGGGGATGGTGATGGGGATGGGGATGATGGTGATGAGAGGAGGGAGGGCAGGGTGCGATCAGCAGAGCCGTCCTGCCATGCCATGGTGCCCAGTGCAACTGCAGCCCACTGCCTCACATCCTCCCCCATCCGCCAACCACCACCACGGGCACTCTCCGCCCTCTGAGGAGACTCAGAAACACCAAGGACGGCACTGACAGCTGGCGGCAACGACGGTGCCAGCTCAGCAAGCGCCGCCCGCTTGTCGTCCAGCCAGCGCCGAGCCTCGCCCACTGCATCCATGGCTGCTGAGGCCTTAGCTTCGGCGCGCCGAGCCTTCCCCTGATGCTGGTCGCCAAGGCGACAGAGAGCCTCCATTGCTGCCCGCAGCGCGAGCCTGGAAGCTTCCTCTTCTGTGAGAAGCTTTTTGGAGGCTTCCTGTGCGGCCAGGAGGTCGGAGCGAGCCTGGTTCTGGGACTCTGACGTGTCGATAAGGTGCTGATGTGGCACGATGGGATTGGGTGGGAGATGGGTAGATGGATGAGAATGCACAAGAGATGAGACTGAGGGTTCCGGAGCATTGGAACGGAACACCGCAGATTCACAAACCTGCCTTTCAACGCCCGAGCTCATGATCCAGTTCTTGGGCCAGTACGTGGTCGTAGCGGTGGACTTCTTTCGGTGGGTGCCTATCGTGTGGCAGCCCACGGAGCGTGCCAGCATATTCCTCCCGGGGTATGCCTTCCTGAAGGAGCGTGGTCCAATTGAGCCTCCTGCTTGGATCGCCGAGTCACGGTGGCGACCAGGGTGGCCGGCGGCGGATCCCCGAGGTTGCGCGGAACGGCGATCCAAGCAGGAGGCTCGATGGACCACGCTCCTTCAGGAAGGCATACCCCGGGAGGAATATGTTGGCACGCTCCGTGGGCTGCCACACGATAGGCACCCACCGAAAGAAGTCCACCGCTACGACCACGTACTGGCCCTGAACGGAAAGAAACCCGCCTTTTCATCACCCCTACCCTGCAGTGTAGGAAAGGAACACTGCAGAGAAACACATTCGCACTCCTACATCACGCAGGTCACTGCCTTCCCATCCCTCCCTCCCACACGACCACCGATTGCACGCTGAGCCGGTGGAAAACACCGAAAACAACGTGGAGCTGAGTTGACGCACTGTGGGTGCACCGAAAAATGTTTCAGATGCGCACTCACTGAAGCACGTGGCAGTGGCACGTCACGAGATGGAGACATGGAGTACATCCGTATCATACCTGAATAGAAGACGCAGCTGACTTGGCAGCATTTGATAGGCTGAGAGCTAGAGTCTGCTTGCAAGAGAGGGCAGAAAAGAAGCACACCGATGCAGCGGAGGAGGGCCAGTGGGCAACAAGGGCTGTTTGAGAGGCAGAAACATGCATCTGTGTCCTAGCCAATGTATAGAGGCACAAGTAGAAGTGACAAGTGACTGGGCGACAGCAAGTGAAGAGCACAGGGGAGGGATACCGTGATGGGCCGAGGAGCTAGAATGGGGGGATGGGCAGAAGAGAGTGGAAGGGGGGCTTGGGGGGGGGGGAAGTGGGGGGGTCAAGGGGGAGGTGGTATCTGACCAGGAGGTAGGTGCTGGTGGAAGGGTGAGTCAAGCCATGGAGCGCCATGGCCGCACCAAGGATGGCCTCCACCGCACGCCTGATAGGCAACACCCTGCCACTGCCACTAGACAAGTTGTAGTGAGACAACTGCATGGACTCATCAGTAGCCTCCACTGCACACCTGTCACCCCGGTCACTGCCACACTCTGCAGCCCTTGCGCTCACTCTGCTGGCTCTGCTCCGCCCCCCTCCTCCGATCCGCCTCCCCCCTTCCGCGAGCCTGGCTGCCCCTGTGACCACCTCCGCCTCCCACGGCAGTAGAGACCCGTCCCAGATAACGCCTGGGAGTACAGGGCGAGGTGCAGCCTCGGGCTTGGTTCTGGCCAGGGGAGGAGCAGGAGGCACGGCTGCAGCTGTTGCTGGTGGGGCGTCAGGCGCAGCAGCAGCAGCTGGAGCAGTGGGAGCAGCGGTAGCAGCAGCATGAGCAGTCCGAGCAGCAGCACGTGCAGTGGCAGCAGCAGCAGGAGCAGTGGCAGAAGCAGAAGCAGAAGCTGCAGGACTAGGAGTAGCAGAGGCAGGAGGAGTAGCAACTAGAGCAGGAGCAACAGGAGCAGCAGCAGGGTTGGGAGCGGCAGTCAGTGCAGCAGCAGCGGGGGCAAGGGGGCCGCCCCACTCATCCAGAGGGTCCCACAGAAAAGCAGACATCAGTACAGGCACCAGCGACCCACCTCCTGTGGTGGCGCCACCACCATAAGGACCACCAGCAGCACCACCATTACCAGCAGCAGCGCCACGAGCACTAGAAACCACCTTCCTCTTTTCCTGGCCTCCCCACTCGCCCCCAACCTTCCCCCACTCGCCCCCCTTCATCAGGCCCCCGCCCATGGCATCCAGCGCCGCCACCGCCGCAGAGGCAAAGGGCCCGGACGGCGCGAGGGCACCGGGTAGCCCCATGCCCCCGCGCACGAGGGTGGTGAGGCGGAAGGGCACGATCTCTGGCACCTTGAGCTGGCGGCCGCGATCAAAGGCGACGGTGAAGTCTATGTGCACCACGGAGCCGGAGAGAGACGGGGATGTTGTCCCAGAGGTGGAGGAGGGGGGGGAGGAAAGGTCCCATAGGATGTTGTCGAGGTGCCGGTCTCCGATGCCGAGGATGTAGCCCGCCGTGCTGGTCACGGCTGTTGAGGCGATGTAGCTGGTGGGTTGGGAAAATACAGGGAAGGAGAGCGACGGCACAGAAGGAAAAAGCAGCCAGGAAGAGATCTGATGGAATGGAGGAGAGTGAGATTTATGTGAAGAGGAGAGATGCGTTTGACGGAAACAAAGTGCCTTTTCCACCACCACTGCCAAAAAAAAGATGCCCTTTTGCCCAAGCATCTCATTTCCATCCCCTCGCACACCCCCCCTACTATCTCCTTTCATCTCACCGTTGCTGCTTTGCCCACCACCCCTCGGAGCCTGCACTCGAGCTCCACATCTCCTTAGCCAGCAGCTGACGTGGCACCTCCCCTGCCAGCTCATCAAACACGCAGCGCTTCACCTCTGCGGGCCAATCAGCACGCGGCGTGGCACGGCTCATCCCCCGGGCCTGCAGCGCAGCTGCCACCTTGGCAAAGAACATCTCTGTGGGTCGCTGCACAGCTGCTGGCACTGCTGCTGCTGCTGCTGCTGATGATGATGATGATGATGCAGATGCTGCTGTGCCTTTTCCTCCAACACCACCACCTGCAGCACCAGCACTAGCCCCAGCAACCCCAGCCCCCGCAGCAGCAGCAGTGGCAGCGGTGGCAGCAGCTGCCTGTCTGGACTGCCAGGCCTTGTACAGCGAGTACAGGCTGTGCAGCCCATCCAGCCATTGGATCATCCCCGACTGGCATCCCGCCGCCACCACCTCGTAATGCCGCACTGCCAGCTGGCGCTTCCTGGCTGGCCCGTGGCTCCGCATCAGCTCATTGGCTGCTTGGAAGAGCTGCGAGATCCGAGCGTCCAATCGGAGGTCCTCCCGCCCTTTGATCAGGAAGCTGCGCTCCTGGCCGTCGGATCCGACGATCACGATGCGCTTCGGGCGGGTCTTGGTGCTCAGAACCTCGACCTTCTCCCTCACACGAGCAATAGTCACTAGCCCTTCGTTATAAGCACACGAATCCAGATCAAGCTGAACCCCTGACTCACTATTCCCTGTAACGAAACTGCTTGTAACGGGGCTAGACATGCACCCAGGTACAGGGGCAGCAGTGTTCTTAAAAGCGGCGAATCCCGGTGCGACATCTGGCAGCAAGAGGTACCGACTCTGCTCCCGCTGCAGCGCCGCTACAGCCGCCTCCAGAGGGCGGCATTTGTCTCGTAGTGCACTGCTGCTGACGTCAGTGGGCGGCGACTGTAGCGCCGCTACAGCCGCAGCAATGAGAGGGCGGAGCCTTGGACGCAGATGGAGTTCCCGAGGGGAGAGGTAGGCAGTGAGGGGAGACATGGGATTGCTGATGGTGAGTTGAGCTTCTGCTGCTGCTGCACCAGCTGCACCAGCACCAGCAGCGGCACCAGCAGCAGCACCAGCAGCAGCGCCAGCAGCAGCACCAGCAGCAGCGCCAGCAAAAATCCCAGCGTCGCCAGCAGCAGCCGCATCAGCATCCCAAATCTGGAGAATTCCTTGCAGGCGCGTCACCACCCCTGCCACTATCTCCCGGTACTTGATCTGGAAAGCAGCTCGCACCTCCTCCTCTCTAAGAACAGATGACACCAGTAGTGCACTGCTGCCGACCAGCGTGCTTGCAGCAGCAGTAGTGACAGCAGAGATAGCAGGGGCAGCTGAGCTTGCAGAGACAGCGGCTGACACATGAGCACAAGCTGATGCAGTCACAGATGCCACAGGCCCAACACCATCAGACGCAGCAGCAGCAGCAGCAACAACGTCGTTATCTAGCAGAGCAGCAGGCATCCCCGGATCCACCACCCCCCTGCCATCGTCATCATCGTTGTCATCCTGCGCTAGCTCCTCCCTCTCCCTCTCCCCTCCGCCCACCCCTGCATCCCCCTCTCTCTCCCCCTCCATCCCCATCCCCTCCCCACGCTGCTCCTCCACTCCCCCTGCTCCTCCCTCCTCCCCCAGAGCTGCTGCTGCTTTAAGAGGAGAGCCAGCCAAAGCAGCAACACCAGCACCCCCAGCAGCAACAGCAGCAGCAGCAGCAGCATCAGGTTCTGTGAAAGACGAGGAAGAGGAGCCAGCAGCGGTGCCAGCAGCAGCAAGGTTGGCAGCAGCAGCAGAAGCAGCAGCAGCAGCAGCAGCAGCAGCAGTGAGTTGGTGGCGGGTGGAGAGGAGGAGGGAGGAGAGGGAGCGGTGGAGGAGGGAGAGGCAAGACTGCAGGGAGGACAGCAGCCGCTCCTCTGGTAAAACTGCCAATCTGTCTGCTGACGTCAGCAGCGAGCGCGCTGATGTCACCATGGCTGGATGGTGCTTCTCCTGCAATGGTAGTCGGGAAAGAGAGGAGGGGTTCTAGTCGGGGAATGGCACATTGAGGCGCCTCAAAAATAGACTCCTCACGCATGGAGGGGTTCAGGGGAATGGCACAACGAGAGGACATAGAAAGGGTGACATGGCGGACAGGAGGGATGGTGGAATGGGGAGATCGAGGAATGGATGGGGGGGAATGGGAAGGCAGGGATGGCTTTTGAGGGGCCTCAAAAGTCGTCTCTTTATCCGCGGATTTTGAGGCGCCTCAAAAATGGGGGGATCGGGGAATGGATGGGGGGGAATGGGAAGGCAGGGATGGTAGAGAGGGGGGGAACGAGGGGTAACCGTTTAGGGGGAGGAGCGAAAGGGTCTAAGGTTTGTGGTTTAAGCAGGGAGGCAATGGCCAGTACCAGGGAGGTGAGAGTGGCTCGAAGCTGAGGCCACCCCGGCGTTGCTTGAGATAACGCCATGTGCCATGCCAGGTCAGCTGCCACATCATCAGCAGCAACTGATGCAGCAGAATCACAAGCGGAACCAGCCAAACCGGCAGAACCGTCAGTTGTAGAGTTGGGGAGGACAGAGGGAGGAGGAGGAGAAGCAGGAGCAGGAGCAGGAGCAGGAGCAGGAGCAGGAGGAGGAGGAGGAGGAAGGGAGGTGAGAGCGAGGCTGAGCTGCTGCAGGTGGTGCTTCTCAAAGGCACACAGGGGGTACACCAGGAGGGCTGGAGAAGTGGCAGCCAGTGAGAGGAGGACACGTGTCAGCTGCAGCCTCACTGCTGTGCTGCGCTGGGCTGCCACTGCTGCTAGCAGCTGAGGGAGAATGGACTGAGAGGAGAAGAGGAGGGGGGGGAGAGGGAGGGAGGGAGGGATGCGGGATGTGAAACATGAGAGTACATTGTGCTGGAAGGGAGGATACCTCTCGATTGCATGGCAGCCTCGCTGCTGTGCTGTGCCGTGCCGGGCTGCCACTGCTGGTAGCAGCTGAGGGAGAATGGACTGAGGGAGAATGGACTGAGGGAGAATGGACTGAGGGAGAATGGACTGAGGGAGAATGGACTGAGGGAGAATGGACTGAGGGAGAATGGACTGAGGGAGAATGGACTGAGGGAGAATGGACTGAGGGAGAATGGACTGAGGGAGAATGGACTGAGGGAGAATGGACTGAGGGAGAATGGACTGAGGGAGATGGAGGGAGAATGGACTGAGGGAGAATGGACTGAGGGAGAATGGACTGAGGGAGAATGGACTGAGGGAGAATGGACTGAGGGAGAATGGACTGAGGGAGAATGGACTGAGGGAGAATGGACTGAGGGAGAATGGACTGAGGGAGAATGGACTGAGGGAGAATGGACTGAGGGAGAATGGACTGAGGGAGAATGGACTGAGGGAGAATGGACTGAGGGAGAATGGACTGAGGGAGAATGGACTGAGGGAGAATGGACTGAGGGAGAATGGACTGAGGGAGAATGGACTGAGGGAGAATGGACTGAGGGAGAATGGACTGAGGGAGAATGGACTGAGGGAGAATGGACTGAGGGAGAATGGACTGAGGGAGAATGGACTGAGGGAGAATGGACTGAGGGAGAATGGACTGAGGGAGAATGGACTGAGGGAGAATGGACTGAGGGAGAATGGACTGAGGGGGAGAGAAGGAGGGAGGGGTGGGGAAGGCAGTGGAGGGTTGCTTGCGGGATAATGGGAATACAGGGGATACGTGCGTGACTGGGAAGAGTGGGCAAAAAGAAGGAAAACACTGTTGCAATCTACATGTGCTGCCACCACTATGATGTATCTAGCATTAGATCGAGGTGACTTTTGGGACAACTCAAAAGTCACTCCTATGAGGTATTTGGCATTAGATTGATGTTCTACTGTATGTGCATGGCGCTCCCCAGCATACCTGCCAGGCATGCGTGCACCTCCTCCCAACATACCTGCCATGCACATGCACCTCCTCCCAACATACCTGCCATGCACATGCACCTCCTCCCAGCATACCTGCCATGCACATCCACCTCCTCCCAGCATACCTGCCAGGCACATGCACCTCCTCCCAGCATACCTGCCAGGCATGCGTGCAGCCGACATCCATGGGAGCAGCAATCACAGGCGCCATGTGCGACCCATGCTGCATCAGAATCTCAACCACTCGCATTGCGACACATGTCAGCGTGGCAGCCCCACCAGCCATAGCCCCACAGGAACCACCATCCTCCATCTCCTCCCGCCCACTCTGCTCCTCACCCACCCCTTGCAACCCCTCCCTCACACCACTCTCGCTCCCCTTGCTCCTTTTCCTGCCCCTGGTACTCGTCCCCCCGTCCCCCTCACATTCACCACTGCGCCCTCCCCCCTTGTTAGCCCCTGCTTTCCCCCTCTGCTGCCTCCTCTGCTCCCTCCCTTCCTTCACCATGATTCCTCCCGCGTCGCTTTCACTATCTCCACGCCCCCCGCCATTCTCTCCTCCCCCTCCTCCCCTCCAGCACGCCCCAGCCAGTTGCAGGAAGCGCACGTAGGCGCGGGCTGCCAGGTGTCGCATAGACAGCGCTCGGAAACGGGCGGCGCGCCAGCTGGCAAGTAGCTGATGCACCGTTGCTGCTACAGCTGCTGGTGCTACTGGTGCTGCCGCCACAAAAGCAGCAGCAGCAGCAGCAGCAGCGCCAGCACCACCATGAGCACCAGCATCCCCACTATCGTCCGGACCAGAATAACTGAGGTTCTTTCCTCCCACCATGCCCATCAGCTGTTGAGTCAGCTCTGCAGTCAGCTCCAGCCGCAAGCACTCCTCCACCTGATCGCTCGCCCCCGACACACCACCCACGCACAGCACATCTGAAGCTGCATGCCTTCCGCACTCCCCGGAAAGACTCAACCCATGTCCCGGGACTTCGAAACAAGAGGGCGAGACGGAGAGAGGGGAGGGAGTGTGGGAGGGAAGGGCTGGAGGGTGTGAGAGCAGGAGGAATCGCTCCATGAGGGCGAGACAGCTGGCAGCCAGGGATTGGGCAGCTGGCAGCGCGGAGACTTGTGCTCCTTCTTCTGCTACCGTTTCTGCTGCCTCGTTGGCAACAGATGCAGCGGCAGCATCAGGAATGGCTGGATGCAAGTTCTTCAGAAGGTCACTAACTGCACACAGCACTGCCTCCCTCTCACCCTCCACGAACCGAACAAGGGAAGGAAATGCTTCACGAGTAGCGGGCACACCTTCACTAGCAGCAGCAGCTGTTCGGGCAGCAGCAGTTGAACCAGTAACAGCACTAGCTGTGGCAGTTGCATCAGAAGGTGCCGCACCAAAACCAGCCACTAGAGGAGAGAGTGTAGGGGAGAGGGAGAGCGTGTCAGGCAGATGGAAAGACGGTGGGGAGACAGAGCCTTGTCCGAGAATCGACGCACCCATGCCAGCCGCACCACCACCATCGACACCATAATCATCATCATCCAGTGAAGCAGGCAACGCCGCTACCAAATCCTGCACCTGCTCCGTCTCCTCTGGAACTTCCATCTTTTCCTCCCCTCCTGCACCACCACCAGCTGCCGCAGTTGTCCGGTCTGACGTGGCACCATCGCCTTGTGCCACGTCAGCACCGAGCATGCCAGCATAGCGGTTCATGCATGTGTCGGCCAGGCAGTCCAGCCACTGGGCGTATGCCAGCCAGGATTGCGGCATGTGGCTGCATGCTCGCACCGCCCCCCATACAGCCGCCCCTGCTACAGACAACGGGCCCAGCTTCGCATGGTTAGGTTGCGCCGTAGGATAGAATCGGCCGGCAGAATCAGACTTGGCAGCTGGATTTGATTCCAGCATCTGATCTGGTTGGATGGAATGGACGGCTTGGATTGCCTCTCTGACCGGAGATCCTGCAGCCATGGATGCAGCATGTTTCTGTGACATTACCCCCTGTGACACTAACGGAGGTGGCAGAACCAAAGACGACCCATGTGCTGTGCTTGCCAGGAGCCAATCGGTGCCTGCCAGCTGTCCTTTTCCTACAGCGCCCCCACCCCCATGGCTGCTGGAGCCAATGGGGAGCAGCCAGCTGGCGAGCTTGAGGCAAGCATGGGCGGTGAGAGGACTGCTGTGAGGAGAAAGATGCACTGATGCTGATGCTGACGCTGCTAGAACTGTTGGTGGGGATGGTGCTGCTGAAGATACGCCCGTACCGGCTGCTGCATATGCTGCTACAGATGGCAGGCCAACCACAGCCGGACCACACACGGACCACAGCCCTTTGACTGCATCCAGGTACCGCCCATCAGCATATGCCACCTCACCCACCTCCATCTCTTTCCACACCTGCATCTGCTTCCATGCCCTAAGCTGCTTCCGAACCTCCAACCCAGCGCTTGAGGGTTCAACGTCGCCGAGCCTCACATGTAGGCTTGGAGCTGAGAGTGCCTCTTGCCGAACCTGCTGCTCGCCAGGAGCCCCAACCACACCAGACAGCAACCGGTTTGCCAGCCGCAGGTTCCCATTGAGCCTGGCCTGCCGAGCCAGTTGCAGCCGAAGCAAGGAAGCAGGTTCGGCACGCCGTGGCTGGGCAACGTGGCAGGCTCGGAGCACTCCAAGCCAAGAGGGCTGGTCCCAGAGGAACGGACCTGTGGCGTCATGACAGGTGTCAGCCGCACCACGGGAATCCCCATGGCTTAAAGCCCCAGCGGAACCAGCGGAAGCAGCACAGCATGAGCCCCAAAGCAGGCTGGCTAGGCTTCCAGCGGTGAAGGAGCCCTTTCCTCTCATCCCACTGAGACCCACTGTGGTGGAATTCTGCTCACTCTGACTCTCCCTATGCTCCATGGCTTCTTGCAATATGTCACACTCCGCTCCTGCTAGAGCCAGAGGCATGGCTGCTGCTGGGTTCATGGGGTAGCCCTCTGCAGAAAGAGACAGCAGCGGCCGACCCAGTGCTGACCTGGCAGCATCTAGCCCATCCAGAAGCAGCTTCAGGGAAGGTTCCTTGGGGTTCGCGGCTCCTCCCACTGATACTGTTCCTGTTGAGCCAACCGCTGCTGCCGCTGCTGCTGCTGCTGCCGCTGCTGCTGCTGCTGCTGCTGCTGGCACCAGTGCTGATGATGCCACTGCTGGCGCCACTACTGCTCCTGCTGCGGCTGCTAGAGACGATGGTGTTGATTCTGATACCGATGCCATCCGGCGCACATGCAGCATGGCGGCGATCGCATTGTGCCGTGCGAATCTAATGGCTGAGGATGCATCCAGGGATCTGACAGGCGCACGCAGCAGCGGCAGCAACAGCGGGACTCGGTGCTCCTCTTGTCGGGGCTCTGTGCTTTGGGGCTGTGCGTCCAGCCCTGTGCTTAGAGCAAGAGGGTCTTTGGAAGGGGTGGGGCCCGTGGGGGTGAGGAGAAGCGGGTCGAAGGATGCGAGGGAGAGAGCCGATGACAGGTCTTGCTGGAAGTGAAGGCATGCTGACGTGGCAGCTGCAGCTGATTGGCTGAGAGGATTGGCCTATTTTTGGGAAGCCAGGGTTAGGGAGGTGTGAGGGGGGCAAGTGGGGAAGAAGAGAACAGGCGAGTGAGGAATTAGGGAAGCTTTTGAGTCGACTCAAAAGTCACCAATAGAACAGGCAAGTGAGGAATTAGGGAAGCATAGGCGAGCAGAAAACTCAAGAGATCAATGACCTCTCACTCAGGGCACTGGAGAAACCAGTGAAATGGAGCAAGACAGTGCGAGCAAGAGAAACGGAGCAGGCGATGGGGAAAACAGGAGTCAGCAAGCATTGCAAATGTTGCAAACATGCAAGCATTGCGCGCAAGTGCCTACCTTGACAAACGCCTGCAGCTGCTCAAAATCCCCAACAGCGCTGTACACATCAATCAATCGCGCAGCAATGAGAGATCCCTCTCCCTCTCCCTCTCCCTCTCCCTTCCCCCCTCCCAATGTCTCCCCTTCGACTGCTCCCCAACCCCCCATCTGCTCCACCCCACTTCTCTCCATCCCCCCCTTCTCCTTCCTTCCTGAATCATAATCATCATCATCAGCACCAGCCCTTCCTGCCTCCACCACCCCTCTGTAATGCCCAGCAGCTTCCTCGAACCTCCCCTCTGCCTCCAACTCCATCCCCTTTAAGAGCCACACGTGTTTCTGTAGAAGCTCCGCTGCTGCTGTGGCTGTTGCCGTCCCTGCCATGCCTGCTGCTGCTGCTGCTGCTGCTGCTGCTGCTGCTGCTGCTGAGCCTCTCACAGCAGACGGAGCAGGCGGGAGCAGCGACTGCACTAGCAGCTGCAGCCATTCCCTTAGCCCAGCGATCGCATCTGGATTGCGCGACTGGCACAGACCAGACGCCAGGTGGCGCACCGCGTGAGCGACATCTGTCGCTGAGCTGGCCCACCCTTGCTGCTGCTGCAATTGCTGCAGCAGTTGCTGCCGCTGGTTCTTATTCTGCTCCTGCCGCTTCGTGTGCAAGTGCTGCTGCTGCTGCTGTCCTACCACCTTCCGACCATCCCCACCCACAAGCCCAATCCCCCTTTCCTCATCCCCACACTCCCCCTCCCCCCCTTCCTCCCACTCCCACTCCCTCACATCCATAGGACACTTCAGCTCCCCTAACCTCCTCCCAGCATGGAACACCACAGCTGCATCCCTCCCCACCCCCATAGCCAGGTGCACCAGCCCCTCCCGGAACCGCCCGAACCACTCCTCACACACCCGCCTGTTGGCGCGGAAAAACCCGAGGCTGTTAGGGTTGGATGGGGGAGGGATGAAGGAATTTCCTTCTGTTGCTGACTGGACCTGGCGTTCCAAGGCTTCCATGAAATCGAGGAGCGAGGTCAGCGCCAGCTCGTGCTGACGTGGCGCATCAGGGGGTAGTGCCAGCTCAGCACCGGTGCAGAGGGGAGGGGGAGGGGGTGGGAGGGAGTGGGACGGGGGAGGGGGAGAGGAGGAGGTGTGGAGGGAAGGGGAGGAGAAGGAGGAGGAGAGGAGGGTGAAAGTGGAGGTGGAGGGGGCTGGGAAGGAGGAGAGAGAGGGCGCTGGGAAAGGCGAGAGAGAGGGCGCTGGGAAAGGCGAGAGAGAGGGCGCTGGCAAAGGCGAGAGAGAGGGCGCTGGGAAAGGCGAGAGAGAGGGCGCTGGGAAAGGCGAGAGAGGGGGCGCTGGGAAAGGCGAGAGAGAGGGCGCTGGGAAAGGGGAGAGAGAGGGAGAGGATGAGGCTGAGGATAGAGGAGCGGCAGTAGCAGCAGCAGCAGCACCACCACCACCACCATATCCACCTCCAAGTGCATTTCCAGCTACCATTACTGCACCTGCTGCCGGCCCTGCTACACCACCACCTGCCGAACCTGCACCGTCCGAACCTGCTGAACCAGTCCGGCCCATAGCTGAAAAAGCCACTACTTTCCCCTCTCCCATCCCCCCTTTCCCCGCTGCAACCACCACCCCTTTGGGCAGCAGAGGCAGGCGAGCCAGAGTGGGACGGGTGGCGTCAGAGAGGGTCCTCTCAAAGGCAGCAAACGTGGCGGACGCCCCCCCGTGGTGCGTGCGCAGCCGCCCACACATGCACTGCCGCGCCGCCAGCTGGACCAGCCACCTCAGCGCCACCTCGCCGTTCACCGCCGCCAGCTGGCGCCAGCTGTTGCCATCTGCTGCTGCTGCTTCTGATGCTGCTGCTGCTGCTGACGTGGCTTGGGAAGACGTGGGGGCATGTTGAGGGAGAGGGGGCGGAGAGGGGAGAGAGGAAGTCGAGGGAGGAGATGGGAGAGTGAGCAGGATCCGCAGCAGCCAATCAGGATGCGGCGGCGGTGCTGACGTGGACTGCTTGCGGGAGAGCAGGTTGAGAATCGCCACCAGCTGATGTGGCTTGAGAGGCAAATCAACTGTCGCTGACGCCAGGTGACCTGGCAATTCACCTGAAGCTGCTGCCCTCAGGAGCCAAAAATCACCTGAAGCAGGCCTTGGGAGAAATTCAGGTGGGTAAAAATCAAGCGAAGAAGAAGCAAGAGAAGGGAGAAGAGAAGAGGAGGGAAGAGGAGCAGGAGAGAGAGGGCGAGGGATGGTTGGAGAGACGGCAGCAGAGAGCAGCGCCCTCTGAATCAACTCCTGCATAGTGTTGCGGACGGCAGCGCTTGGATCGCCAGTTGCCTGGAACAGCGCCACTTGCGCTACGGACAAGGCTTGCCGGCCGGAGAGCGCTCCTGTGGCTGCGAGAAGCGACAAGCTGTCAGCTGCTGCCAGGCGGATGGAGGGAGAGGGGTGGAGGAGGGAAGCGGAGAGGGAGAGGAGGAGGCGAGGAGGGATGGTGGGGAGGAATGGGGGGATGATGGTGAGGGGCGGTGACAGAGTGACTGCTGCCTCTGTTGCTGCTGACTCGGCCATTGCTGACTCAGCCATCTGTCGGATCCATGCCAGAGCCTCCAGCTTCAGACCAGCACAGGCATCCCCCTCCTGCAAAGCCCACGCCACATCACGCCAGCCAAGTGCCAGCTCAGCGAGCACACGCGCTGCTGCGGAGGTATACCTGGTGACGTTCTTAGCAGCGTTTCTGCTCTTAGCCTTCGATTCTAGAGCAGCAGAAGCAGCAGCAGCAACAGCAGCGGCGCCAGCAGTAACCAGAGCACCTGGGACATCACATGCGCAGGTGTTTGCAGCACTAGCGGTGGTGACAATAACGGGCGTGATTTTACTGAGACCACCAGAGCCTAACAGAAGGTGGTCAGCACGGAACGATGCCTGAGAGGCCTCTCGCAGCCCGTGAAACGCCGCCACCTGGCAGCGCGGGAGTGGCCAGAGGTGGTGGTTCCAGCGGCGGTAGTCAGAGACCAAGGCATGCAGCAGTGAGGAGAGACATGCACCCATGTGGCCTGCTGCTGATGGAATAATCACATGAGCTTCCGGTGCCCCTGCTGCTGCTGCTGTTACCTCTGTTGCTGCTGCTCCTATTGCTGCTCCTGCTGCCGCTGTTGCTGCTGTTGCCTGTAAGGTGTCCCTGCACAGCAGTGCTCCTTGGATTACTCCCGAGGAGAGAGCCACCAGGTCGAATCGCAGGAGAGATTCTGCTTCCTCAGGCGCCCAATCCCACTCCGCCACGTCAGCAGACGGCGAGAGGTCAGCGCCATACTGCGTGCACCACCTTTCCAACTCCAAATCGCCTCCAAAGAGATGGGAGCAGCCCGAGCGCACCGCTCTCCTTCTCCTCTTCCTTTTCCGCTCTCCTGCCTCCTCCGCACCAACCCCACCAGCCCCACCAACAGCCTGGCTACCAGTCCTGCTACCGTGTCTGCTGGGAGCAGCGCAGCGGTAACAGTCACGCATTTCTGCGAGGAGGAAGGAGAGAGGCACGGATAGGGAGGCGGAGGAGGAGGCGGAGGAGGAGGAGGGTGGGGAGGAGGAGGGGGGGACGGCCAAAGTAGAGGGAGAACAGGGGGGATCCTGCAGAGCCTTGGAAGCTGGTAACTGTGAGTGCGAGAGGGACGAGGTGAGGAGAGGTGAGTGAGAAGGGGAGAATGTGGGGGTGAGAGGAGGGAAGGAGAGGAGGGCGAGGATGGATTCGGAAGCAGCGGAGGCAACGGCAGGGTGGGGGTGCAGGCGGAGGAGAGGGAGGGGGGCGTAGGGGCGGGCGAAGAGCAGCGACGAGAAGGCTGCAGCGAGGGGGTCATCTGAGGGGCACAGCTTCGCACGACCAAAGCGTTTCGCATCCCCTCCTACTTCCGTCTCCTCCCCAAACTCCTCCCCTTCCCGGCCTTTCTGCAGCTGCTGCTGCTGTGCTTGCCCCTCCTCCTCCTCCCCCTTCTCCTCCTGCTGCTGCTGCTCTTTTCCCCCAGCTTTGGGGCAGACAGATGCTACCTCCCCCAGTCGCGCCTGCTGCTCAGTCACACAGAGCGCTCGCAGCGAATCAAGCGCTGCCAGGTGGCAGCGCAGCACGGCGGCCAGGGCGGGCGGCGGGAAGAGACGCGTGCTGGCGAGGGCGTTGAGGAGAGGAGCGACAGCTGGCACGTAGAAGCTTCGCAGAAACTGCTGCACTGGAGAAAAAGGAGGCAGCTTCTGCTGCTGCTGCTGCTGCTGTTGCGCCTCCTCTTTCCGGGAGTGCTGCTGGTGGTTGCTGCAGAGCGCCCAGACAAAGACAGGCAGAACAGCCCACCATTCCGCCACCCACGCCACCCGTGCCACACCCGCTCTGCCCACAGGCACCCGCTTCACCTGCCCCGCCCCTCCTGATTCTCCCCCTCCTGCTCCTGCTCCTCCTCCTCCTGCCGCCCCTCCTGCTCTGCTACTACCCCCTGTTTTGCCGCCATCCCCTGCACTGTTGCCGCCCCCCCCCTCCACCTGAATATCCACCTGCAGGAGATCTCTCAGCAGCACCAGCCAGCGCCGGAACAGGCTGTCCACTTGCACTTGGTGCTGCCACGACGACCCTATCTCCCCACCTACTGCACTAATAACGCCACCAGAACTACTAGCGTTGGTAGCAGAGGTGATGCTCACAGCATCCCCTCTGGTGGCAGTGCCAGCCCCCATGGCAGCTGCTGGCGTGAGGTGTGCTGTGAGGCTAGGAACGCCTCGCCAGCCTGTCACGCCGCCCAGAACGGCGCTAAAAGACAAAGTCAGCGCGGCCAAGCGAGCGTCAGAAGCGTCTGTCTCTTCTGCTGCTGCTCCCCAGCTCTTACCCCCGCCACCACCACTAACAGCACCACCAGAACCCCCGCCAGCAGCAGCAGCAGCAGAACCACCACCAGAAGCAGCAGCAGCAGCACTAGAGGAACCGCTATCACCAGACCCTTTTCCTGCTTTAACCTCTGCCTCTATATCCCCTACCAGTTTCAGCAGCACGTTCCGAGAAAACGCTCCCCTCTCCCGCCACTGCCGGCCAAACCGCAGGAAGCAGTCGCCGATAAGCTGCCGGCTAGCCGGCAGAACTGACGGTTCCATGGCCCACCCCAGCAGCAGGTCTATCACCTCCTCGAACTGCCGCAGAAAGGTTCCGGGAAAGCGCTCGGCGACAGCGACGAGGACGGAGAGGATGGGCGGGAGGAGAGCGGGCGGCGTTCCTTCGTCCTCTAGCAGGCCCTGGCAGGCTTGCACACAGCTGGCGACGTATGGCTCTGATGCTGCCGCTGCTGCTGCTGCTGACGCTGCTATTGCTGAAGTTGTGCCTGCATTTATAGCTGCACCAGCAGCAGCAGCAGCAGCAGCAGAAGCAGCAAAATCACCACTGCCTTCTGCTGCTGAGCTCAGCTCAGCTTCGGGCGACAAAGCGGCAGGTGCCAGCTGGCAGAAGGGAGCAGCTGCCAGCAGGGCGAGGCGTGTGTTTGCCACGTCAGCGTTGGGGTCTGTGAGCTGGGGTATGGCCCATGCAAAGAGGCGCTCCGCTCCTGAGGAGGAAGACCGGAGAGAGGGGGTCATGGGGGGAGAGGGGGGGGGAGGAGGGGGGGAGGAGGGGGGAGAGGAGGGGGGTGAAGGGGAGGAGGACAACAGAGAAACGGGCCGAGCCAGTGAAGAGGGCAGCATGCTCCACCCTTTTTCAACAACCATGCATGCAGCCACGCAATCCTCCTTCGACTTAGGGTGTGTTCCTCCTCCCTCCTAGGTTCCGTGTCATCACGGCAACTCATGAGTCATGTCATCCGAAACAAGCTGGAAAGCACATCGTGTGTCGCCAAACTGCCTGACTGATCAATCAATCAACCACCCACCCACCCACCAGCCCGCCATCGTGTGCTGCCTATTTTTGAGGCGCCTCAAAAACTGCCTCACCGATCAACCACTCAACCACCCACCAGCCCGCCATCGTGTGCTGCCTGCCTGCCTAATCATTTCCTGTCTCCTTTTGAGTCGACTCAAAAGCTGTCTCCCCCACCTACCTACGACCTCCGCCCACCTGCGAATGAGACGGCGACAGCTGGCGGCGCTACAGTGCCCGGAGGGGATGATTCGGAAGGGAGGCGGACAGAGGCTGCAACGCCGATGGCAGACGCTGCTGCTGATTGGATGACGGCATCCCTGGGATGAGGGAGGCGGGGGTGGGGGGGGGATGGGAGGGGAGGTAGGGAAGTGGGTGCGGGGAAGGCTTAGACCCCGATGCCACAAGCTGCAACGCCATTGGCAGACGCTGCTGGTGACTGGATGACGGCATCCCTGGGGGGAACGGAAAGAGGGGGAGAGAGGAGAGGCAGGGATGGGGATGTGTGGGAGACTTGGAGCCCAGTGTCAAGTTTTGAGGCGCCTCAAAGATGTGTGGGAGACTTGGAGCCCAGTGTCAAGTTTTGAGGGGCCTCAAAGATGTGTGGGAGACTTGGAGCCCAGTGTCAAGTTTTGAGGCGCCTCAAAGATGTGTGGGAGACTTGGAGCCCAGTGTCAAGTTTTGAGGCGCCTCAAAGATGTGTGGGAGACTTGGAGCCCAGTGTCAGCGCTGCAACGCCAGTGCCAGATGATGCTGCCCCGCCAACGGCAGACGCTGCTGCTGATTGGAGGGAGGAGAAGGGGGGAAGGTGGGGAGGGAGGGGGTCCCTGTGGGGAACATCATGGAAGTCAACCTTCTGAGACGCCTCAGAAGCGGGGAGGGGAGGCTGCCAGTGTTTGAGCATCATGACTAACACCCTCTTCGTTGAGCATGTATGGGATGGGATCATGGGCCCATCTCCTCCATCCATGAAGGAACATCATATCATAGATGTCACCCCCCCCCCCCCCCCCCCAACCCCCGCTTAAGGAACACTCATATACGACGGCACCCCCCGTTAGTAGCACACCTGTGTGCGAGCAGTCGTTCGAGCAGCGACCAGATGCGGCTGGCTGTGGGCTCCACGGCCAGCAGCTGAGGGGCCATGGGGGACTGCTGCAGAAGCGACGCCACTCGCCTTATGAGTTGCACCTGCGACAGGTCCATAACGGGGATGAAACGGGAGTGGGATGTTAGACAGAAGTTACAACAAAGGCTAAAAATTGCACGCGAGGTAGGTTACGAAGTGAGGTAGGATTCACACGATGGCTTTAGATAGACGTCTCTTAACCCTGCCGCGAAAAACGACCTTCGGAATCTTCGCACCTCCTGGGGAAAACCATCGCTGCCAGCTGTCGAGACATGACTGGCCCCAGAATCGGCGCTGGCCGTTCCACGCGACGCAACGTCAGCTGCCTCCTCTAGCCACCTCACAGCTCGCGCGCCAGCCTCCGCAATGGCGGGGTTCACGGGGGTTGGCGGAGGGGGAGGCGGGGCTGCTTGCGCCGCTGGCGGAGCTTGCGCGGCGGGGGCTTGCGCGGAGGGATGCTGCGCGTACGTCGGCTTGCCTCCGCGCGGACCCCTAGCTGCGCCACCGCCGCTGCTGTTGGCGCCGCTAAAGCCTCCGCCGGTGTAACCGTGTCCGCCATAACCGCTACTTTCGCCTCTGCCAGTGTAACCCTGTCCGCCACTATAGCCGTGCGCGCCAGCGGGCGCGCCGGATCCCGCGCGACGGGGACCATAAGGCGGGGGACCTGGATGCCTGCGCATCGCTAGCTATGCGTGGTCGAAAGGGATCCTACCGCTCCGTATAAACTGTCCATAATTGCTTATTGATTCAAGCCGTCGATCTGAAAGCGAGAATAGGGTGGGCTGCGAGTAGGATGATGTGGCAGGAGGTGTGGTGGTGGTCTCGAGTCTCGTCTCGACTCTCGACTCTCCACTCTCGTGCAGGTCAATCAATCATCAGCAGGGATTGGTGGGCTGAAATCCATCCCTTTTTGGATGCCCTGATATCACCTCGTGTAGTGAGATAGGCATTGTCATCAAAATTGTTCAACATTTTGATGTTGGTTCTTGCAGCTTAGGAACAACAGACAAACTATTATAGCCCGCATTCGTTCATCCATTAAGCAATTATATGAAAAAATTATGCAGTAAAAATATATAGTTACCCAGAATATTAAAATTATATATTTTGTTATATAATTGGTAGGCTTGGTAGGTGTTATTGCAACCAACTGTAAAGGGTACAACCCCCCTCCTTGTATGCCTCTCTTCCAGGCCCTTAAATATCAGAATTTTTAGGCTGATTTGGGTTTCGCTTCCAGTCCATATCTTGGCATTGGCTAATGCAAATGATACAAAGGCTTGTGAGGGACCTGTTGTTCAGGAATAAGTCTCAATGGGCAGTTTGCAAACACTGGAAAATCATAGACAACAGAAAAAACAGCCATTGAAATTAAGCAAACCAGGGCTTTAAGGTTGATATCTTAGGCCCTGCTCTCTTCTATTCTCACTATCTTTTCTCTCGTAACTTTCTCCTAGGTAAACCCTCACGCCATTTTCATGGCTTCCTAGCTACCTAGCGTTTGTGATACATAACATTTTTTTGGCAAGAGAGGCAAGCTATTGTGTTCCATTCCATTCCCAATTGGGAGACGTATATTTTATCATGGGTGGTTTACAAGTCAGGAATAATTTTTGAAATCCTGGATCGGGATGCCAAGCGGCCAAGAACATGCAAAACGTCACACGGTGTTGATGACAAGAGCAGGCAAAAACGTACTTAGATTTCGAGATTATTTGGAAATGCTAGTGTACTGTTATGGATTGTTCTTTTGCGTTGTTCCAGTCAGAGAATCCCTGGGCCACAGGATCTGCCCTGTACATTCGTGACATCACCTCCTAGCCCTTACTATGTGGTCAAGTACTCACGTATGACTTCCTAGTAGTCACAGCCATGGAGCGTGGGCGAAGACCAGCCATTGCTATAGGTCAGCTGCTCTTACGATGGCCTTCTGCCGGACGACGCATTAACCCCGTTGCCGGAACAGCAGGAAGGAACCAGAGGGCCTTTTCGGCTTCCGCGTCTGATCTAGAACGATCGGGTCCTTATCGAGCCGATCTCTATCAGAATAGATTTCCCGGCGTCCCGTTACGTGATTTTCGGCTCGAACCAGCTGGCTGGAACGATTCGCTACCAGGGGGTCTCAAGTTTCGACATGGTAGCGCTTCCGTTGCGTATCAGCCTGTCGGTAGCCCGGCCAACTGGTGGATGAACGCCTTACCCTGCTCAGCTGCAAGCCATCTTCCTCTGAGATTTCCGGTGCCACGCTCTACAACCGCTGAGAGAGTCCAGCTCATTCCAGCTCTTTCCGTTCCTTCTGCTGCTAACTTGAGAGGCGGTCCGCTCGAGAGTCCGGGGTGTGGGAGCGCGTTGCCGCTGCTGGCCAGCAGCGTGAAGCGGAAACGGCGGAAGAAGATGAACAAGCACAAGGAGAAGAAGCGACGGAGACGGGACAAAAACAAGCGATAGTGTTTCTGAGAGGCTCCCAAGCGCCGTTTCTTCTCCCACTGGTGATTCTGTCGTTCTGAACTGGAAGGAAAACACTGATTCCTTGGCTGAATATCAAATCCCAGATGTGTAAGAAGCTGCTTGCTAGTGCTTATCAGCTTCCTGTGTCCTTGCCTCTCTCACCATATCTTCTTTCACAGTTGATTCTTCATCGGTTGGACGAAGGAATGTATGCCATTTTCGTGCTCCCAAGCCTTATCAAGATACCCGAGTCCCCAGCAAGTTCTGCAAGAGCTTCATACGTTGACCATTTCATTTCCCAGCAGTTCCGGCTTGTCATGCAAGAAATGCTTCTACTGGTGCTTCCACCATTGGCTTTACAACATTTTCCACCACTGAAAATGTACCATTTTGCAGATGGCTCAACAGGTATTTTAATTTAAAATACAGGGAGGGAAACAACTTCTGATCTGCCAGACGCACATGCTAAACTCCAGAGTCAGCACAGCAGCAGACGAAGATGGGCTCCATCATCATCACCCATCTAGTGTCACGATATCGTCTGCTTCTGACATGGATCTCAGCAGTGCCATCATCGCCAGTGCATTGTCATCGTTCCCACTGCCAGGCGAATGGCCTTGACCTGTTGAGTTTTGACTGTGCCCATTTGCCTGGGAATGCGAAGCTTGTTTGCTTCCGCTGTAGCTGATAGAACCCTCCCCGCCCATGGCAGTGTCGCCCGCAAAATCTGCAGCAGCAGAAGAGCCCGCAAGAGCAAGCAGGGCGGCATCCATATCTTGTTGATTCATGGCCTCTTGAATCTGTTTCTGCAGCAAATCACTGCTGTCCTGGACCGCGCCTGCCACATCAAAAGATGCGAACCGAACCAGTCCCTCGCCACCTATTGCAGCACCAGCAGTGTAACAGCCACCTTGATTTCCAGAGAAAAAGCTGCCTGTAGGCAACTGTCCGTCCCTCCCGCTTCCTTTCATTTGTGCAAAGGCATTCCCAGCACTGGGATTGACCCTACTTATTGGGAACTGTGCAGAGTTGACGCCCCTTTCCTCGCCTCCTGGCCCTGGCTCATCACTCGCCTTCACGTGCGACAATGCCTCGATAAGACTTTTCAAATCCCCCTGCTGCAACAAGCTGGACAATGCTGCTGCTGCTGCTGGCCCATGGTCTGCAAGACCTTCTCCTGGTTTCTGCATGAGCAAACCACCAATCCCAGTCCCAGCAGCCTCTCTCACTTCCCTTAAATCCTCCTCGGACAAAAAAGGGCTCACGTGTGTGGCGGTGCGCTGCTGCCTACTCACCCCTACCCCTGCTGCTGAAGTCGCACCCTTGGTGAATGCAAACAAATGGCCAGCACTAACTCCAGCCTGCTCTTGCGGCTGCCTTTGAAGATGAGAAAGGGCTGCTTCTGCGCTTGCACTGGCACCATTTCCACCACCAGACTCGGGGAGCTGAAAAGTCCCACTCCCAGGACCAAAATCGCGGGCCTCGACGGTGGAATCTGCTTTATCTGCTGATAGGGAGTGGGACGTCACCTGAAGCGCGCCTGAGCCATCCTCTGAAATCAACATCCTTGGCTGCGTCTGTGCTGGGTGCATGTCAGAAGGTGATGTAAGCGGTGGCAGTGCTGCCGCTGCTGCTGCCGCCGCCGCCGCCGCCGCTGCTGCTGCTGCTGCTGCTGGTGACGAGGCTGCGGGTGCAGCAGGCACCGTTACGGACCGTGGCATGCGCTGAGGTGGCCGCAGCAGCTCATGCGATGCAGTGTCTCCCGGCCTCTTATTCCCCAATCCTTGTGGCTTTTGGTGGGTGGAAGGTGGGTGAAAAGTGCCTAGGTGAGACAATTGCGACAATGGCCTGGGGGCGGGCGCAAGAGGTGAAAGCGGGCGGGCCGGCGCGGCACCGCTGCTGGCACCGCTGCTGGGTCTGATGGCTGTTTCTCCAGGACGCAACAGCTGCGGGTGTCGATGTGGTGCACTAAACGTACGCCCATATGAATGATGTGAGCTCCTGGAAGCAGGCAGCTGCCGCTGCCGCTGCTGCTGCTGCTGCTGGTCCTGCTGCTGCTGCTGCAGCTGGCCACTGGTGCCGCCACTACTGTTGTGAGCATGGCCTGAGAGCCTGGCTGCTCTGCTTGCATGGATGGCGCTCATGTCAGGGAGGCGCAGGAACTCGGAGAAGGACGGCTCGCGGTAGTGCTGGGATGGGGGGGTTAAGGCAGAGGGGGTCAAGGTGGCCGGGGAGATTGCTGAAGAGGCCAATGCAGCAGGAGACGACACTGCAGGGGCCAAGGCCGCTGGGGAGATCGCAGATGCAGTGAGGGAGGAGGGAGTGAGCACTGCTCCAGGGTCGTCAGTGCACGGCGTCACAGGTGCGTCTGCCTGCCCCCGTTGCTCCAGCTGAGCCTCCAGGTGTTGCAGCAGCAACTGCTGCCGCCTCCATTGCTGCCGCTCCTGGTGCTGCTGCTGTTGCTGCTGCCACCGCTCTTGGTGTTGTTGCTGCTGCTGCTGCTCCTGCTCATGTTTCTGCTCTGCCAGTCTCCGCAGCTGTTGATGCAGCTCCTGCAGCTGCTGCAGCTGCAGCTCCCCAGCATCCTCACAATCTTGGTCCATCATATTCCAAGCCATCCCTCCTTGCTCCACCTCCACCTCCTCCCCTGCCCCCTGCCACAGCTGCATATCCCCATTTTCAGCACTAAACTCAAAGCCCTGTCCTGCATTCCACGGTGCAGAAATCTCCTGCCTCTGAGCTGGCGGCCAGGTGCTGACTTGGCAGTTCACACTTGTGCCACGTGGCGAGGTGATGGCAGCAGAGGCTGAGAGATAAGCGGCAGGAGAGGAGGCAGGGCGGGGGATGGACAGGGGCGGGGGGGGGGAAGTCGGCCCTCTGGAGGGCACGACATGGCAGGGCGGGGAGGGGAGGACAAGGAGCCTCGGAGTGCATTCCCAGGGTGTTGCGGAACCCCATGTGGCCCACGCAATCCTCCAGGCGATTCAGGCGGAAGGTGGAGCAACCCTTTTTGTGCTTCATTCATAGGCCGCTGTGCCACCCCATGTGCCTCATGCGAACCCCCTTGAGCATCATGCGGCCCCCCATGTACCTCATGCACTCCTTTATGTGCCTCATGCACGGGGTTAGGCGTCGTTGGGGAGGCTCCCTGGAGCGTCTGTGCAGCCAGCAGGTGCGCCAGAATCACCGCCGCCGTCAGCTGCTGCTGGCTCTGCGCAGACGCGCCAGCAAAGGCAGCCGCAGCGGCAACAGCACCAGCAGCAGCAGGGGAGGGTAGTGCCGATGCTACTCCGCTACTGCTGCCTGCAGCCGTCATGGCCTGCTGAGAGAACTGCACCGAGCCAGTGGCTGATGAGATGCTGGTGGGCGTGGAGGCAGCAGACGAGGGGTACGAGGGGTAGGAGGAAGAGTGAGGGTAGGCGGCAGCAAGGGCCGATCCGGGCGACAGCAGAGAGCCGACCTGCATGGGGAAATGGTGATCCCGGGGGGAAGGCGCGGAGGAGGGGCGGGGGGTGAGAGAGACGGAGCCGGGGCCGGAACCGGAGCCAGGTGACGCCACGGGTGACGTCAGCCAGTTCACGAGCGTTTCCAGCAGCTGCTGCTCCCTCTCGGCACCAGTCGGCATGCCGCTACTACCTCCAAGACCGGGATGAGCACGGCTGCTGCTTGCGACACCACCGCTTGTCCTCACGCCTCTGGCAGCAGCGCCTGTTGCCACGCCATGCGAAAGTGCGCTCCCAATGGCGGCAGCAGTAGTGGCAGTGGCGGTAGTAGCGTCCGTTTCGCCGCTCGAGCCCTCGCCTCGCGCATTTGTATTGCCGGCAGTGGCAGTGGCAGCGGCAGCGGCAGCAGCAGCGGCGCGGAAAGCGACTGCGAGAACCTCAAGCTCGGCGAGACTGTAAGGCAGCCTTCCCCCCGGGCCTGATGGCAGCCCCGCTTGATCCCCGACTTCTTCCCCTCCAGGCAAAAACCCACCCGCAGCAGCAGCAGCACCACCAGCAGCAGCAGCTTGCGTTCCGCCTCCACCTCCGCCAGCAGACGCGGCGCGTCCGCCTGCCAGCGCGGAGCCGTTGACGTCATCGGGCAGGCGGAGCCTGAGCCCATCCGCGGAGTGGCGGCTGCTTCTGGGGGCGGTCGCGCCTGCGAAAACTCCCTGTGCGGCAGCAGCAGCGGCGAGGGAGGAGGTACCAGTAGGAGGTGGCGCGGGTTGCGCGGGTTGCGCGAGTTGCGCGGGTAGAGCGGGTAGAGCGGGTAGCGCGGGTTGCGGGCGATGAAGCGGCGGCGGATGGTTGTGTTCGCCGAAGAAGGTGATTTGGAGGGGGCTCTTGGCGTCGTGCTTGTGGAAATCGACCACGCGACGCGCGCGACACTCGCTCGGCTGCCGGAAGTGACTACAGCGGTAGTAGTGCCTGATATAGGAACACGGGGTACGAGGCACAGGAAGCGGGGGATGCGATAAGCTGAGAGATCAGTAACGAAACCCTAATCAGACGGCGGAAATTTGACGAGCAGATATCTCGCTCAAAATCGACGAATAGCACACCGAAGGCGCGTACAAAACGTCAAAAATCATTTTCTCCGTTTCGTTTCGCGCGTGAGTTGAATCCGTAAGGGTTGCTACGCACGAGCACCCAACCTAACCCACCGCCATATTTCGCGTCCTCCCAAAACCGACGCAACGAAATAGGGCTTCCGAGTCCGAACGCCTTGCAAACTGATGTTCGGTAGAACACCCCAAGAGAGAGATAGCCCGTTCTTGAGCCACATGCACCTGTTGCGCCGTATCCCCGTGTGCCTAGGAAATTACGTTAGCGTGTGGGACGCTGCACGCACCTTCCGTGAGTGCCGCCGGTGAGCTGCTTCTGCCCGTACTTGAGCCACATGTACCCGTCGCGCGGTATCCGCCGCTTCAGCAGCGCCAGCCGCTGCCTCGCCGCGCGCCGCCTGTTAGGAGAGGGGAGGGAGAGCGGGGTTCGGGGTTCTAGCTTGGAATTAAAAATGACATCCTCCAGCCGAAACAAAAAGCCAATTCTGAAAGTCGAACCCCCCCCCACCCCCCCCCCCCCCTCCCCCCCCTCCCCCCTCCCCCCCCCCCCTCCCCCCTCCCCCCCCCCCTCCCCGCCCCCCTTCCTGCCATGCGCGGCAGCCGCTATTACTACTTCGCGAAGTTGGTAGTTTTATTACCCTAAAGTTCCCAGCGGAGCCGTCTACCGGACACGAGCACAAGTCTCATCATCCTCAAAAGTGCGAACGAACGTACGCGGACATTGGTGGCTGTCTCGCCGCCGCCGCCGCCGCCACCGTAGTCGCCTCCGTCGCCGCACCCGCAATAGTACCCACTCCCGCCACTCCCGCCGTGCCTGACGGAGGGTCTCTGGCGGCCACGGACGCTTCAAGTTGACGACGCTCACTGAAACCGGCCGGCCTATGAGGCTCCAAATCCAGCCGGTCAGCCTGTTTCGCTGGTTGGCGCCAACTGGAACTTCCAGCCTGTCTTGAACACGGGCTTGCCTCGGCGGTGACAGCAATAGCAGTACGGGTAGGGCTCCTCTGGGGACTTTTGAGAGGGCCCGAGCGCCGTAGGCTTTGCTGTAAGCTTCGCCGAGAGCTTCGCTGTGACGGCGACTCGCCTGACTGTTTGGATCGACCTTCGGCGTCGTTGCCGCTGGCGCCGCCGTCGCCGGGCCCTGCTGGCTCGTCGGCCTCTACTAGTAGAATCTCCTCGCCGTCGCCGTCCACGTCGCCGTCGTCGCCGTCGTCGTCGCCGTCGTCGCTGTTGTCTCCCTCGTCGACCTCCATCATCGACAGTACGTTCACAGGGTTGTCGCCCGAGGCTTCATCCGCGCTAAGCGCTGCTTCGTCTGGTAAAGACGTCTGCACGCTCATATTGACTAAGACAGTGGAAGTTCAATTTGGGGGGGGGGTGGATGCTGCAAACTACTAGTTCAATCTGAAACGCTGCTAACTCCTGGCGATGAGACCTTGATGATATATTCTGGAAATCACAAACACTTGCTGAAGCCGTTCCAAACAATTTCGTACTACTAAGATAAGTACAAAGTACCGTTCCTATTATTCTGCGATGCTAATCTGATTCCGAGCGCAAGCAGCAGGATAGGGAGTGGTCCCTGGTCCTCGAGCCCACGTTCCTTTGGCTCCCAGATTTCTGGGACTATAACGGCCAGGGGAGTACTAGCCCATGTCCTTCCTTGTCGTTGGCTCGATGCCAAACGAAGCCACCCACCCATATTTCGGGAAATTGCTGTAGCAAGTGGCCATCATTGGAATAGGCTACGCCAGCCACTATGAAGCGGGATTAGAATCTGGTCCGTAGCTAAATGCAAGGGCAGCTAGCTTCGCGGGGGGGTGGGGAAACGAAGGACAGGCTCGTGCCGTACATAGCGCAACGAGGAGCACTGGACAAAACGAAAATGCTTCCCGCGGGGCAATCGGCGGGCGCATCTTGAAGATAGGCTGCCCTTCCCTTCCCAGCCCAGTGCCCTGCCCACTGCCCGTCCCTGTGCCCCCTTCCATTCCAACGCAGATTCGTTCCCAACATCCCACAGACGTCCGTTACGGAAGTGGGCCCTGCCCTGCAACATTCGCATCAAAAGCAGAGCAGCTGACGCGATTTCGTTACCCTACAGCGATTCTAAATGATTTGTCCTTCTCTGTCGTTTCTGATCGAGGGCGTCCTTGTTTCGCTCGTTATCCTACAGTGATTCTAAGTGACTTGTACCTTGACGGGACGGGCGGCGGGGGGGGGGGGGGGGGGGGGGGGGGCACCAGCAGCAGCAGCACTTCCAAGTTCCAACATTCCAACTCCCCTTGTCGATTGTTGCTGCCGTGCCATGTGATATCGCCGTGAGGTCAGCCACCCGAAATCAGCTGATCCAAACTACAGACACTCGCTTTCGGATTTACATCTGCTTTCCAGCAACATTTTTGGGAACACGCGCTTTTGTCTGTTCACTCACGCGCTTCAGTCCCACACCAGTTGCTCTCCCTCAATTCCTACCCACTCTTTTCTCCTCTCACCTCGAGGTTATTGCGGGGATAGTGTCTGCACTGTAGTGTCGATAGTCTCCACGGCTACTATGAGGGGACGTGCTGATGTGGCACAATCGTAGCTGTTGGTTTCTATGACAGGAGAGTCAGACACGGGCATTGAAGACAATTCTCAATAATGTTGTGGTTATGACCAGGGCTTACGCTAGAAGGGTATCGACCCTAAATTTAAGAGAAATTAAGAGTTGTTCAATCCCCAAAACCAGATTTAACAGGCTGGGATTTTCCGGAACTCTTAAATTTACGACTGAATTCTCCTTGAAATCCTGATCCATTCCGTGTACTGTTTTCATGAATCCAGACGAACTAGTCTCGTAGCATGGAGCTCTGTGAGGAGAACTTCCATTCCATTGCGTGGTGGCGAAGATTCTCACGTCACGAATCACCTAAGGTACTTGGACAATTTCAAGACTTGCCAATTAGCCTAGTCATGTTCTCTGCACACATCAGGGGAGATGACTGACACGACCTTTGGCAGGGTTGTTCCGTCGAGAACTCGGAAGGATTCTGTGTGAAATTTCCTTGGGATCCGGAAAATTCTGGGTACTTATGGACCCCATCTCGGGACCCTCCGAAACTCCCTAGGGCCTAGCATAAGCCCTGGTTATGACTCTAACCCCTATCCGGTCATGCAGGTTTGTACTTCTGCGTCATGGGTCTTCTCCTGGGATGGAATTTGTACTTCTGTATCTGGACAATATTGGTGTGGCAAGATCACCCCTTTCTCGAACCAATGGAAATTTACTCCTCTATGGAGTACACATCAGTGCTCTCGCGAAGGTAAATACGCTTAATTAAGAGCACCTTCTGGCTGGTTTCCCTGTTTGGTATGTCCTTGATTCCGCACCTTCTGGCTGGTTTCCCTGTTTGGTATGTCCTTGATCAGTGACATGACGGGCTACTCCCCCTAAGGACTGATCCCTGCGCCGTGTCATCTGACGATGTCAGACGCAGAAAGACACCCAAAGAAACTATGTTTCGCCAGTGTCGACGATTGAAAGTGCCAGTCTTGACTGACAACAGTGAAACTTGTTTAGTCAGGCAATCTTCGCAAACGGTAACTGACGAAACAAATTTACGAGTGCCGCAGCGCGTTCTTTTCGAGTTTGCGAATTCCAGCGTCGTGATGGAGACCTTCGTGAGGGGCAAAAGTTTTTCGACCTTATTTCGTTAAGGTCGCTTGAACCTTTTGGCGTTAACACGTGACACAAATCATCGCACATCCGACGCGATGCCTGACATTCCGTCAATTTAGGAAGACACTCCGACGATCTAGGAAGACACTCGATTTGCCCCGTGGCACAATGACACCCACAGATGACACGACATAAGAATACTACATAAATTGGTAGGATGGGGCAGAGTGTACTTTCACCCTCCATTAAGGGGCATTTACTTCTACCCTGCTGCTCCAATGCCAAGTTACTGTGGGGTTCTTCCACACTGACCCGACCCGCCGACAAGTAACTCAGGGTATAGTTTCGGGAAAAAAAAATTCACTAACGGGTAATTGAGGGGCTGATTCTGTCCCCACGTAGATCATGAAGCAAACTCCCGTCGGAAGTCGGGAATCCGCGTCATCCGACGTGGGAGGGACTGGATGACGCAGATTCTTTTGCGCCAAGCTCGCGCGACACCAGCACCAGATTCGCCAGCTCCAAGCTCCCCTCCTCTTCCCATCCCAGCCCATGCTCCATGCAAGGACCAAGGGGTCAACGCAAACTGGTGGCTGACACGGCAACTGCTCATGCAACATTTTAGGCCCTGCTGCTTCTTCCTTGCAACATTTGTGAAACGGACAGCCACTCGTGTAACCGCCCTATCGGAAATTCATGCAACTGGCAGTGTGCACCAGGGCTCTGGCTAAAAGGGAAGATACCCTCAATGTCGCGAAGTTCAGAGTTTCTTTCGACCTGATGCCCTTTTTCGGCATAGTAAAGTTTTTATTAATTCCGTCTGCCTAACGGATTAATTTTCGTGTGATTCCGACATTACGGGTTACGTTTATCTGATTCCGTGCGAAGTGCACTTGTAGTTGGAGATCTATTCGTATCACCCCCTCCCGCCCTCCCCTCTACATCCACTAAGCAGAGAGAGAGGTTAGTTAGCGGGAATTTTTCCTACACTTCCAACCGACTGGGGCATGTATGTATGAGAAACAGCCTCTTGGGGTTCGAAGGCTTTTCCTTGCCCTGGCAAAGGTCATTTTTCTTTGAGGATATTAGTATCAAACCAAGAGTAGCTCTTCGATGAATCCGTATTTTAATTAGCAATGTTTCGGCGATTCCGTCCGCTAACGGGTAATTTCGGGACCGATTTCGTGACCTAACGGAATACCCCAGGCCTTAGCGAGAGCCCTGGTGTGCACAACCAAGCAGGAGGACTTGGTTGGTGGTTCTTCTCGGTCTTGGCCAGGGCCTGAGCTAGGTTTTTTGCTAGCTCAGACGTTTTGGCCTATCTGAAAAAACCCCTGTAAAACCCGAGCAGAGCCAAACAAATTTCAGATGAATCACGGTGCGAGCCGAAAAGGGCCTGAGCGCCACCAATTATTGCGGGGTGGGAAAAAATGTGCCCACGCCACTACTTCGGTAGGGCAATCGGGTTTGGCCTCGCTCCTGCAGCGCCACGGCTGAGGGGAAGAGGGGGGAGGGGGTCACTCACCACCCAAGACGGTGACTCAATCTGTAAGTGATACAGAACAACATAACACCGGCTTCCAGCAAGGCAGCTCCCGAATGTACCGGGCTTTGAGAGGTGTGGGGCGAGATTTGGGGGAGGGAATTGTGGAGGGCGGCGAGTTTGGGCGGGGGCAAAGTTGAGGCCAGAAAAAAAAAAGGGGATTGGAACTGTTTGGTGGGGGGTTTGGGGGGGGAGGGGGGGGGGTTACGGGGGGAGGGGGGGGGGAAGAGGTTTGGAGAGGGGAAAAGGTCCAGGTTGCCCTGGAATTCCCCTGGATATATACGGGTCCCACGAAATTTCTCCCTGTGTGATTCCAGGCTGGCTGGGGAAAAAACTACGTGAAATACAGGCTACGATTAAAAACACCTTGGATTTTCAGTCAAGACAGGATCATAACCCTGTTATTTTCAGCCCCTGTCCTGGCCCAACTTGCCTTGCCCATGGCCCGCTGTTGGCGAATCCACTCGCTCACTAATAACACATTTGATCTACTTGTTAGAATGTCGAGAGAAAAGTGGACTAAGGGAGGAAGGCTGAGGGTTACAAAGGTGAGAATGTAGCCCTCTAAGAACTGACCTAGCTAAGGCTATAACAAATATACTGTACCTAGCATAGACATTTCTATTTGTTGACACTACTGCCTATTTTTTTCTGATGTGTGGCTGGCTAGTTATCTAAAATACATAGTCTCCCTCATAATGCCCGTGTGCATGCGATTTTATAGAGAACCATTGGCTATAGATGAAAGGGTACTCATCTCGACCATCATAGATTTCATGTAGCGGAGGTACCTAGCTGTTCACATGCAACATCCTCTGTTTCATCCCCTTCCAGACGACTCCACTCCACTAGTGCATGTCATACTAGAGCCTATGGGGCCTATCTATGAATGCACAGGCATCGACAAAAGCTACACAAACAAACCCTTCATAACCGCGTGCCTCAAAACACAACTTGGCAACAGCCAAGTCACGCCCTAAGCCAGTAATTAACAATGTACAGATATGACTGCCCAGTGCCCACTACGCTGTTTGGAGAATTCAGAGCGCGAGGGCGTGCAGGAGCAGTACCGCAAAGAAGCTGATGCCGAACCCAACCATTTTCGTTCCACTCCTGCCAGTGGGAGCCTGAGGTGGTGACGGTGCTGCTGCTGTTGCGCCCCCTCCCGCCTGCTCACTAGGAGGATTGGCAGATGGTTCGTTGTCAGGTGGTGCGCTGGAAGGTGGTGCGCTGGAAGGTGGTGCTTTGGAAGGTGGTGCTCCGAAAGGTGGTGCTGGAGGTGGTGCTCCAGAAGGTGGTGCTTCGGAAGGTGGTGCTTCGGAAGGTGGTGCTTCGGAAGGTGGTGCTCTGGAAGGTAGTGCGTTGGCAGGAGGCGGACTTGTGGCTTCATGAGATAGAACAAATGAGGAAAGGGGAGCGAGGAAAGATGAATGAGCATCTTGGCACATGCGACTGCTAGCGCACAATACCATGCAGACACAACAGAGATCCACGAGGTGACTCTTGAGTCTTCTCAAAAGTCAAGGGAGTGCTAGCACACACTAGCATACAGACACGACAGAGATCCACACGGTTACTCTTGAGTCGACTCAATACTCAAGCGAGTGCTAGCACACAGTACCATGTAGACATAACAGAGATCGGCAGCATGTGCAGAGCTTGTCTCAGCTGGCAGGAAGCGAGATGGCTTTCGGGTTGACTGAAAAGTCATCCCGCATGTATACAGAGATGCACAAAAAGTGCAGAAGGGATGATGACTAACGATGTAACGAGGGGGCATTCAAACGGCAAAAAAAGAAAAGAGGACGGTGAAGAATACGCGGATTACCATTGAAGCATGCGGGACAAGGGACGCAAGTGGGCGCGATGGTGCCGTTGTTGCCGAGGACAGAGCCCAGAGGACACGTGCAGGTGTACGTGCCATTGGGGAGGGAGACACAGGCACCAGACCCACATGGGTTGTGCTGAAAAGATGCGCACACATCAGCTGCAGAAGATAGAAAAGTGCAGAAGGTAGAAAAGAGAGGAAGAGGGGTTGGGAGATCTGATGTGTGCTGTTCGGGAGGGAGACACAGGCACCAGCCCCGCATGGGTTGTGCTGAAACAATGCGCACACATCAGCTGCGGTGCAAGTTGCAGAAGAGGGGGCGGAGGGGTTTTGGGGATTTGAGGTGCTACTGGGGTCGTCGTCACTCATGGTCTTGGGAAGAGCAGCAGTGCGAAGTCGATCGCTTGAGCAACAAGAACGAGAGTAAAAAAAATCCTAGGCAGAGATTCGCTTCGTAAAAACTCTTCACTCAAATTTACCAGGTCGCAAACATGTTTCGGCTTACAGGCATCAAACCCGCCGAGCCTTCATCAGTGCTACTGGACATAAGAGATCACGAATCTAGGCATGAGCTAAGTAACAACCCACACCCTCCAAAACAATTCTCAAGATTATCAACTACCCAGATTGCCTATCAATGGGCATTCGCCAACACAGCAGTGGGTAAAAACCCGAGGTTGCAGGTGTCAGTCTTCAGGAGGGTCTTCTTCCGAACTGTCGATAAGCCTTGGTAACTTGGCTCGCACAAGTAACTTTTGAAGGTTACGTGCACACCTCCATGCAATGAAAATATTCCCCATATAAAATCCGCGTGAGTTGAGACGATTTTTGAGGCGCCTCAAAAGGACCCCCAGCCTGAGACGTGCTGTTGACGGAGTAAACAGTGTCTTCAAGACTAGGGGCCCGCGGTCAGGGGGAGTAGAAATTCGGTGTGCCTGGCGAGCTTCAGTCTGCTCCAATAGGAGCGGGCGTTGTCGGAAGAGAACACTCTGGAAGATGGGTGTCAGAAAATCAGCCGGATAACCCCGATCTCTTAGCCGCTGGAAGAAAGCACGCTTAGAAGCAAAGTAGGTTTGAGCAGATGACGAGCGCAAGAGGTAACGCTTCAGCTCCGCCCGTACGAAACCTATCTTGCAGTGTCGGGGGTGGAATGACGAAAAAGGCAGGTACAGGTACCGGTTCATCGATTTCTGAAAAGTTTTCAGATCCAGGGTACCCTGCTCGGCAAAACGTTGACCCTTGAAGATGACCAGGTCGAGGAAGTCAGCCGAACTGTCTGAAATATGCCACGTGAGCTTGATGTTTGGATCGAGCGTGTTGAAGGTGTTCAGGTACTCCTCCAATTCGCTCTTCGATTCGGGCCAAATTATCAACCCGTCGTCGATGTAGCGCACATGGCACAATGGTGTAGTTCCAGACCACCGCCTTGAGAGAATCTCGTCCAGCCAGCTCATGAAGAGGACAGCAAAGCATACTGCAGCAGGAGTTCCCATAGCAGTCCCTTGTGTCTGTTGGTAGATTCGGCTGTTGAACTCCACGAAAGAATTCATCATGACCCATTCCAGCAGGGCCATGACTGGTTGAGAATTCACGATTCTCCCTCGTTGAAGAAAATTGCCCACCGCATCGAGCCCTCGCCTTAGTGGGATGCTGGGACAAAGCGAGGTGACATCGTACGTAGCTAGAAGTATTCCTTTAGGAAAGGCGGTCTTTTCCAGCATCAGTAGCAATGAGAGGGAGTCGCGCAGGTAGGTTGGCTGTTGAAGCACCAGTGGTCGAAGCTCCGCGTCCAACCAACGGCTAACATTCGAAGTCACCCATGAATGCAAAGCTGCAATAGGCCGCCCCGCGAGTTTCTTCTTGTGTAGCTTCGGAAGGATGTAGAACGCCGCCGGTCGCCATCCTCCGCGTGGTTTGTCAAAGAAAAATTTCCACAGGCTCTCGGGAAAAGCAGGTCCCCACACGCTTTGCAGATCACGTAGCTTCCGCACGACGTCGGCGGTAGGATCTCGATGAACCTGAGTGTAGGTCGTCGCGTCGTCAAGATGGTCGAGACAGAGGCGAACGTAGTGACTCCGGTCCATGACAGTGATCCCGACGTTCTTGTCGGCAGGTTTCACTACCACGTGTCGATCCGCAGCGATGGAGCGCAGCGCCCGTAGAACACCAGACGAGATGTTCTGATGTCGGATCGGGCGGGTTGCCTTCAACAGGAAGGACAAGTCGAATGACGAACCCTTGAAGACCTGCTCCGGAATTTGAATCCGATCAGGAAGCCAGTTGGGATTCCGCACTCGAAAGCGCGAGTCCCCCTTCCGACCGCCGTCATCCTTGAAGAAAAGTCGAAGCGAAATCTGGCGTAGGAGCTGGTCGAGCTCCACAGCACCAGACAGGGAAACGGCAGGCGTTGGAATGAACTTCAGTCCCAACCCCCGCCCCTTCTTCTCGTCCGAAGACAAGACCTTGGAGCTGAGGTTATGTACTCCCCGGTTCCGGATCCGTGTCGACAGCTGCCACACTGTCAACCGTCCGAACCAGCGGAGCGCCAAGTCGTGACTGGTTAGTTCTTGCGCGGCCCTTTTCTGGGGCCGCCTCCGCCGTTTTTTGGTCCCTTGGCCTTCTCAGATGTCTGGCCACCCGCTTGCTGGTCCTTGTCGGTGCCGTTCTTCTTTTTGTTCTTCTTACCCCCGCGTTTCTTCTTCGGCTTCGAGTCCGTTGCCGTATTAGCCGAGAGGCGCTCCTGAGAATCAGGAGTGAAGGGCTTCGACGTTCCGGCAGACGATTTCTTCTGCTTCGAGTCAACAGCGAGGGCCCGGGAGGAGTCCTGTGCTCCGAGAGAAAGATTTTTCAGCAGCTTCTTCATCAGATTGGATTCAATTTTTGGCGCGAGCTCCCTCCAAAACTTGTCTTCAATCCGCTTCGCGTGCTTGTCCATAATCTTCTCAATCCCGGTCTCGGTTTCCATGTCATGCACCTCCTCGGACGCAGCAGCCTTCTTCAGTTCTTCAGCAGCAACCTTCCGCTGTCGATCCAGCTCCTTGATGACGATGTCATCTTTCGCAGCCGCGATGTCGGAATTCGCCTTCGCAATGCATCTCCCCTTGAGCAGTCGAAACTTCTCCTTGGCGGTATCAGAAACCACCAAATCTGGGTTAGTGCTCAGGCTTTGAATATAATCTTCCATCGTTGCAGCTAGAGCGGTGACGTTCGAATTCGCCGCTGTCTGCAGCTCTTCAACCTCCAGTGCCTTTGAGGCGATGAAGTCCGCCTGCAGCCGTTTCTGGTTCGCCTCGTGAATCGCGGCGACGGATGTAGCAGATTTCTCTTTAACGGACGGAAGCTTCGTTTGGAACTCGACAGCCTTGGTGCGGATGCTATGAAGCAAAACACCTTGAGCATCGAGATCCTTCATCTTCTTGAGCTTCTCTTTCGCCTTCAGCAAAGTCTTGAAGTCGTCGCGAAAGCTTTTGACAGCCGACTCCGTCCATCCCTTGAAAGGTTGAGGGATTGGAGAGGTGTCGGCAGCTTCCGCCATGACGCTTGGACGACTTGTCGACGGGCCGGTGGGATGAGCTTCAGCTTGCTTGCTTAGTAGAGTGGGTTCGTAGGTCAATGCCAGTGGAGGGATTCTCTTCCCAGCTCTAGATCGCCTAGCGTGTCTTGCGGAGCGTGATGATCCTCCCTCCCCACGAACGCGCTTAACCGAGCTACGACCACTTGTACCGGCTTCTTCCTCGTCGGATGGAATCCAATCGAAGTCCCACGGGTCGTCGTCACTCATGGTCTTGGGAAGAGCAGCAGTGCGAAGTCGATCGCTTGAGCAACAAGAACGAGAGTAAAAAAAATCCTAGGCAGAGATTCGCTTCGTAAAAACTCTTCACTCAAATTTACCAGGTCGCAAACATGTTTCGGCTTACGGGGATCAAACCCGCCGAGCCTTCATCAGTGCTACTGGACATAAGAGATCACGAATCTAGGCATGAGCTAAGTAACAACCCACACCCTCCAAAACAATTCTCAAGATTATCAACTACCCAGATTGCCTATCAATGGGCATTCGCCAACACAGCAGTGGGTAAAAACCCGAGGTTGCAGGTGTCAGTCTTCAGGAGGGTCTTCTTCCGAACTGTCGATAAGCCTTGGTAACTTGGCTCGCACAAGTAACTTTTGAAGGTTACGTGCACACCTCCATGCAATGAAAATATTCCCCATATAAAATCCGCGTGAGTTGAGACGATTTTTGAGGCGCCTCAAAAAAAGTTGCAGAAGAGGGGGCGGAGGGGTTTTGGGGATTTGAGGTGCTACTGGGGAGGAAGACACAGACACCAAGACCATAATGATGACTGCACCACCTCGCCTCACAGCTCTGACTGACCTGCTCGCACAAAGCATTTGGTGCAGAAGAGGGCGCAGCGCTGGCAGAATGCTGACGCGCTCTGCTGCTCCAGCTCGCACCAGCCCCCCCTGGCGCACTGCAGGCCTGTGCCGTCCACTTGGCTGGATGGGAGGGAGGAGTGGAGGAAGCACGAGAATCACAGGGGGAGAAGGTGGAGCAGCGCTGGCAGATGACTGATATGCTCTGCTGCTCCAGCTCGCACCAGCCCCGCCTGGTGCACTGCAGGCCTGTGCCACACACACATATGGGTGGATTGGGGGGAGAGGAGTGGAGGAAGCACACGGGGAGAAGCACAAGGGGAGAAGAACGAGGGGAGAAGAATGAGGGGAGAAGAAAGGAGGGGAGAAGCACAAGGGGAGAAGACAGAGCAGCGCTGGCAGGATGCTGACGTGGACTGCAGATATTTGAGCATTAAAAAAAAAAACAAGATCTGCTGATGTGGACTGCTCCCAGCATCTCCCAACCTGAAGGCGACTTACTTGCTCACAGCACACAGGCCTGTCTACTTAGTAAGGCTGCCCAGCAAGGTGTGCGTGTCCAGCAAGGTCTGTCTGTCCAGCAAGGTGTGTTTGTCCAGACTGGCCCGGCTGCTGAGTAAGGCGGCCCAGCATAGCCGGGGATGACCCTGACGGCTGAAGCATGCTGTAGCTCGAGATGTTCAAGTGTGAGACGCTTGACGAACAGGCGGTTCAGGTGTGAGACGCTTGACGAACAGGTGGTTCAAGTGTGAGACGCTTGACGAACAGGCGGTTCAAGTGTGAGACTTACTGGTGGATCAAGTGCGAGATGCTTGACTCACAGGTCCGTCAGCAGAGTAAGGTTACCCAGCGATGCGGGGAGCGACCCCTGAAGCATGCTGTAGCTCAGGTCGCTGCGGCAGGCAGGTCCACGGGGAAAACAAAGAATGAAAACAATCTCGTTTTGAGACGATGCGTGAGGAGTCTATTTTTTAGGCGCCTCAAAAACAATCTAGTTTTGAGACGCCTTAAAGGGGGATTGACCACCTGAAGCATGCTGTAGCTCAGGTCACTGCCGCTGACAGGTCAACGGGGGGAAAGAAAAACGAAAATTATCTGGTTCTAAGACTTCTCAGAAGGGGATTGACCCCTGAAGCATGCTGTAGCTCAGGTCACTGCGGCCGGCAGGTCAAGGAGAAGAAACAAGGCGAAGGCAGACGAAAGCAAAGCCATAGGTGGTGGATCAGGATGGGGCGAGCACAAGCAAGGCAGTTGAGAAAAGTGCAAGACATGGGGCATGAGAGAAAGAGGGCATGGGGCACAAGGCACGGGGCACAAGGCACGGGGCACAAGGCACGGGGCACAAGGCACGGGGCACAAGGCACGGGGCACAAGGCACGGGGCACAAGGCACAGGGCACAAGGCACGGGGCACAAGGCACAGGGCACAAGGCACGGGGCATGGGGCACGGGGCACGATGCACGGGTCATGAGACATCGCGAGAGAGAGAAAACGGCACAAGTGGGCGGCACTGACAGCTGGCTCAGGGTGGTGAGGCGACCCATGTCAGCTGGCACAGAGCCGGTGAGGTTGTTGTGGTTGACGGCACTGGGATGGGGAGGGACGGGATGATAAGGGAGAAGGTTGATTAATCTCTTAGGTTGCAGGGAGGCTTGGGGACAGGGAGGGGGGGAAAGAGGAGGGGAAGAGGCGCCTCAAAAAGGGAGACTTGGCTTGGGGACAGGGAGGGGGGGAAAGATTTTTGAGGCGCCTCAAAAAGGGAGACTTGGCTTGGGGACAGGGAGGGGGGGAAAGATTTTTGAGGCGCCTCAAAAAGGGAGACTTGGCTTGGGGACAGGGAGGGGGGGAAAGATTTTTGAGGCGCCTCAAAAAGGGAGACTTGGCTTGGGGACAGGGAGGGGGGGAAAGATTTTTGAGGCGCCTCAAAAAGGGAGACTTGGCTTGGGGACAGGGAGGGGGGGAAAGATTTTCGAGGCGCCTCAAAAAGGGAGACTTGGCTTGGGGACAGGGAGGGGGGGAAAGCGGAGGGGAAGGGGCGGCTGGCAGTGAGGTGGTGAGAATGTTGAGAGGCAGGGGTGAAAACAATGGCAAGGGGGAGAGGGAGACGCAAGCGGGGTGTCATGTCGTTTCATTGTTCTCACTGCGGATAGCAATGAGAACAATGGGATGCCATGGCGAACACTGGGAGGGTGGTAGCATGGCACTGACAGGTACACGAGGCTGATGAGGCCAGTGATGGAGTTGGGGATGGACCCCTCGAGCTGATTGGAACTCAGATCTCTGCACATGGCGATAGTGGGACGCACGCATGATTCTCCTGGTGACACAGACACACACATGCATGCATGATGTGCAAGACGACACAGAGATACATGCGCGATGCACATGGCGATGTAGACACATGCATGATGCACATGTTGCGAGCGATGATGCATAGGCGCACTTGTGGAGAGGAATGTGTGGGAGAAGATGCTAGTGCTCATGTAGCAGCCTGGAGCTCGTAGCCATAGGCTCACGCTGGCTACGAGCCTGGAGCTTCATGCATGAGTCATCGGCTACAGGTCGGTCATTGGTCGGAGCGGCTTCATATGTTTTTGAGAATTCTCAAAAGCACACAGGCCGTCCAGAGGAATATGGGTGTGGTGTGGATACGGACCTTGAAGTGCAGTGGAATAGATTCCGCCTATCATGGTATGGGACAACATGGCGTTGCATGGCATGGGGCATGACATGGCACAACATACATGAGGGTTGCATTGGCGAGGGTGCCCAGGGAGCTGGGAATGGACCCCGTGAGATTGTTGTTCCTCAGGTTCCTGCACATATATACACGTATATTCCATGTGCATATATATATATATATGTATATAAATATATATACAAACGCACATGCATGTGAACATGCATGCAAATACACTACCCACATGCACATGTGCATGTGGATGAACACACACGGACAAGAATCAGTCAAACATGAGAAGCTTTGTGAAGGAAACCGACAGCATCACATTTCGTGGTTAGAGAAATGGCAGCCAGAGTAAATGGTAACCAGAGTAAATGGTAACCAGAGTAAATGGTAACCAGAGTAAATGGTAACCAGAGTAAATGGTAACCAGAGTAAATGGTAACCAGAGTAAATGGTAACCAGTGTAAATGGCAACCAGTGGAGGGCATGGCACGGCATGGTGGTGAGTGCATGGCATGGCATGGTGGTGAGTGCATGGGATGGCAAGGTGGTGAGTGCATGGCATGGCATGGTGGTGAGTGCATGGCATGGCATGGTGGTGAGTGCATGGCATGGCAAGGTGGTGAGTGCATGGCATGGCATGGTGGTGAGCGCATGGCATGGCATGGTGGTGAGTGCATGGCATGGCATGGTGGTGAGTGCATGGCATGGCATGGTGGTGAGTGCATGGCATGGCATGGTGGTGAATGGGTAGGTACCATGTGCTGTTACAGGTGACTCACAGGCTGGTGAGGCTGGAGAGAGCGCCTATGGTGAGCGTGGTTACCACACAGTGAGCCCCTATGGAGAGTGTGGTTGCCCTTATTACTGATAACTGATGGCTTGTTAGTGGTTACCACATGCTGTTACATGTGACTCACAGGCTGGTGAGGCTGGAGAGAGCGCCAATGGAGTCGGGAATGGGACCAGTGAGGTGGTTGTAGGACAGGTCACTGTAAGGACGGGACAAGAACAGTGAGGCGGTTGTGTTGTGGAACAAGTCTCAGTAAACAGACCAGTGAGGCGGTTGTGTTGTGGAACAAGTCTCAGTAAACAGACCAGTGAGGCGGTTGTGTTGTGGAACAAGTCTCAGTAAACAGACCAGTGAGGCGGTTGTGTTGTGGAACAAGTCTCAGTAAACAGACCAGTGAGGCGGTTGTGTTGTGGAACAAGTCTCAGTAAACAGACCAGTGAGGCGGTTGTGTTGTGGAACAAGTCTCAGTAAACAGACCAGTGAGGCGGTTGTGTTGTGGAACAAGTCTCAGTAAACAGACCAGTGAGGCGGTTGTGTTGTGGAACAAGTCTCAGTAAACAGACCAGTGAGGCGGTTGTGTTGTGGAACAAGTCTCAGTAAACAGACCAGTGAGGCGGTTGTGTTGTGGAACAAGTCTCAGTAAACAGACCAGTGAGGTGGTTGTGTTGTGGAACAAGTCTCAGTAAACAGACCAGTGAGGCGGTTGTGTTGTGGAACAAGTCTCAGTAAACAGACCAGTGAGGCGGTTGTGTTGTGGAACAAGTCTCAGTAAACAGACCAGTGAGGCGGTTGTGTTGTGGAACAAGTCTCAGTAAACAGACCAGTGAGGCGGTTGTGTTGTGGAACAAGTCTCAGTAAACAGACCAGTGAGGCGGTTGTGTTGTGGAACAAGTCTCAGTAAACAGACCAGTGAGGCGGTTGTGTTGTGGAACAAGTCTCAGTAAACAGACCAGTGAGGCGGTTGTGTTGTGGAACAAGTCTCAGTAAACAGACCAGTGAGGCGGTTGTGTTGTGGAACAAGTCTCAGTAAACAGACCAGTGAGGCGGTTGTGTTGTGGAACAAGTCTCAGTAAGGGCGGGACGAGGAAAGGAAAGGAGATAAGGCAGGGGAGTTGTGAGAGTTCCAAGGAGCCACCTCATCATCATATGACAAGTCACTGAAAGTAGCGGTTGTCCAGGAAATAAGGAGAAGAAAACGTAAGGGCTAATAGATAACAGAAGCAAAGAAAGTGCAAGAAATGAGATAAACATAAGAGTTGGTCTCTTGAGAATTCTCAGCAACTAAACTTACCATTGTACGGTAAGTCAGTAAAACGGAAACACAGTAAGTGAGAAAGTGAGTTAAAAAGGCGTAGGGAGGGAGGAAGCAAAGGAGAGGCGAATACTGAGCAACGCTAGTTTTGAGGCGCCTCAAAACGCGAATACTGAGCAACGCAATGAGAATGAACGAAACAGAGAGCTTTCGCAAGGATCGGTGACTTTTGATTCGACTCAAAAGTCACCTCGAATACTGAGAAACGCAATGAGAAAGAAGGAAACAGAGAGCTTTCGCTTAGATCAGTCGGGTCAGCACAAGATGCATGCATGACCAGTGTAGCCGGAGTCAACATCCACGCCAGAGTACACCCAGGCGAGGTGACTATTGAGTCGACTCGAACGACACCAGGGTACACCCAGGCGGTGGCACGTGGAAAGAGCAACAGTCAAACAGGGGGGCTGGGATGCTGAGTCTGTTAAAAGGACCTAACGATAGAGTGGCACAAGCACACAGGGGGGCTAGGCTGCTGAGTCGATTTTTTGCATAAAAACCGAGCAGCACACGTACAGGAGGGCCAAGGTGGTGAGGTGGCTGATGGTGGAAGGGATGCGTCCTGTGAGCTGGTTGCCTCCCATGCCCCTGACACCACCGTCATGTGAGCATGCACATGGTACGGTAGGGAATGAAATGGACACGTGGCATGTCAGCAAGGGATTTATCCTGTGAGCTGATTTCCCCCCATGCCCCTGACACCACCATCACGTGAGCATCGCACCATCATGTGTGCATGGCACACTCATGTGTGCATGACACCATCATGCGCATGCGGCATGCGTATGGTACGGTACGGTACGGAATGAATGAGGGAGGCAAGTGTGAAGTCAGCAAGGTTTGTTGCATACCACCGTGGGATTTTGCAAACAACCGTGGGATGTTGCATACAACCGTGGGATATTGCATACTACCGGAGATGTTGCATACAACCGTGGGATGTTGCATACAACCGTGGGATGTTGCATACTACCGGAGATGTTGCATACAACCGTGGGATGTTGCATACAACCGTGGGATATTGCATACTACCGGAGATGTTGCATACAACCGTGGGATGTTGCATACAACCGTGGGATGTTGCATACAACCGTGGGATGTTGCATACAACCGTGGGATGTTGCATACAACCGTGGGATGTTGCATACAACCGTGGGATGTTGCATACAACCGTGGGATGTTGCATACAACCGTGGGATGTTGCATACAACCGTGGGATGTTGCATACAACCGTGGGATGTTGCATACAACCGTGGGATGTTGCATACAACCGTGGGATGTTGCAAAGAGGGTGGGGGTGGGGAGAGGGGGATGCACACAGCGGGGGATAATGCATCCAGGGATGTGCTAGGCTTGCGATGGGGGTCAGCTGGGAGCAAGCGGTGCATGGTTGATCGGCAGTGTATCCCTCTCAGTCATGCTCCTCATGCTCTCAATCATGCTCCTCATGCTCTCAATCATGCTCCTCATGCTCTCAATCATGCTCTTCACCCATACAGGCGGGCTCCAGCGTGTGGCCACAGCAACAAGGGCAGGGCTCACAGGAAGGAGAGGGCGGTGAGATTGGCAATTGCTGCAGGGATGGACCCCGAGATGTTGTTCTGGGCGAGATGCCTGATGGTGTGCAGTGTGCAGAGTGCAGAGTGCAGAATGCAGAGCGCAGAATGCAGAGCGCAGAGTACAGAGTGAAGAGTGCACGCGATGAGGGCAACAGCAGTAGAAAAGATGAGAAGAAAAACGAATAGTACGAGAAGAAATGACAAGACAATACGATGATGCCAAGGGTAGAAATGATGCCCACATTCTCGCCCTATTTGCCCCTATCTGCCCCTAATTGTTCCGTATTCGCCCACTACTCGCCCCTTATTCGCCCTTTATTCGCCCTCTATTCGCCCACTATTCGCCCACTACTCGCCCACAATTCGCCCACTATGCGCCCACTATTCGCCCCCTCCTATTCGCTTCTTCCCCTCTGGTTCCCCCACGATTCCCACCTATTCGCCCCCTATTTGCATCGGATCCGCCCTCTATTCGCCTCCTACTCACCCCAAATCAGCCCCCTACTCGCCCCCTCCCCCGTCTACCCCTATTTCCCTCCTATTCACCCGCCTATTCGCCGCATTCGTCCACTATTCGGCCCATATTCGCCTCGTATTTGCCTCCTTGCCTCCTAGTCGCTCCCTACTTTCCCCTAGTCGCCCCCTATTCGCTCATGCAGCACTGTTCACCCTCGCACCATGCTTCGCCCATGCAGCACTGTTCACTCTGGCAGCACGCTTCACCCATGCAGCACCAGCCACCCTGGCAGCACGCTTCACCCATGCAGCACCAGCCACCCTGGCAGCATGCGGCACTCACATGTACTCAAGGCTGGCCATCTGCTGCAGGTTGGCTGGCAGGCTGCCCACTAGGTGGTTCGCTCCCAGGCGCCTGGATAGAGGGGCGTGCAGAGATAGCAGCATGGAGGGATGGAGGAGATGGAGGAGAGGGTGGGTGTCTGATGCAGGTTGGATGGCAGGCTGCCCGCTATGTGGTTTGCTCCCAGGCGCCTGCACAGAGGGGCGTGCGCGCATGGCAGTATGGAGGGAGACATGAAGGCGTGGAGGCTTGGATGCATGGAGGCATGGAGGGAGGTTACAGGGTGCGGGATTTTAGAAATCTAAAATGTCTCACAAGAGATAAGAGAGGGAGCAGCAGGGAGGTTACAGGGTGCGGGATTTTAGAAATCTAAAATGTCTCACAAGAGATAAGAGAAGGAGCAGCAGGGAGGTTACAGGGTGCGGGATTTTAGAAATCTAAAATGTCTCACAAGAGATAAGAGAAGGAGCAGCAGGGAGGTTACAGGGTGCGCAGACGAGAGAGGTTGGCGACAGTTGAAGGGAGGGGGCCTGAGAGCTGGTTGTAGCCCAAGTCACTGTAGGGAGTGGAGAGGGGCAAGGCCACAAGCGAGAGAGGAAGGGCAGAGGGCAGAGGGCAGAGGGCGGATGGCAGATGGCAGATGGCAGAGGGCAGAGAGCAGAGGGCAGAGGGCGGATGGCAGATGGCAGAGGGCAGAGGGCAGAGGGGAGAGGGCGGATGGCAGATGGCAGAGGGCAGAGGGCAGAGGGCAGAGGACAGAGGGCAGAGGGCAGAGGGCAGAGGGCAGAGGGCAGAGGGCAGAAGGCAGAAGGCAGAGGGCAGAGGGCAGAGGGGAGAGGGCAGAGGGCAGAGGACAGAGGGCAGAGGAAAGCGGACGGCAGGAGGGAGACAGAGGGGGATGAGATGGGCAGGCCAAGGCACTGACAAAGGGAGGCAGCAAAAGATGTTTGGAGCTTGTCCTGTGAGCGAGCTCAAGATGTTTGGAGCTAGTCCTGAGAACGGATGCAGCTCAGGAGGTGGGGCCAGCGATGGAAGCGGGTGCGAGCGAACACGATTGCTACAGGTGCAGCACGCATGGCTTTGGAGGTTTGCCCCAGACTGATGAGGACCAAAGTCGGCTTTGGAGGGAACAGATTGTTCCGGACTCTGGATCATTGAACAAAGTAGAAAAACAGGAAGCTCACAGGTTGCTCAGAAGAGAGAGGGTTCCGATGGTGTCAGGAATTGATCCTGTGATGTTGTTGGTTGCCAACAACCTGGGATGTGGCATTCAGGGAGTGACTGGTGATAAGCTGAAAAGCTGCATTGAAATTTCAGCAGCTCAAAATGCAACAACTTGAAGAGCTGAACAACTACAACTGCAACAGCTTCAAAGCACCCTCACCAATCTCAGAAGCAGAGAAGCCTTAACCGCCTGCCCATGTGTGTTGTGAGCAGACAAGGGGACTTTTGAGTCGACTCAAAAGTCACCGCATTAGTAGAGAAGCCTTAACCGCTGCCCCATGTATGTTGTGAGCAGACAAGGGGAGCAGGACTTGATAAAGTGGGCGTAGGCTTTTCAGGTTCTTTAAGGGCGTGAAGGAGAGAGACGGAATCGGGCACAGCGACAGGCTGTGTTTCATTTTCTACAATTCTCAAAAGCGAAACACATCGGGCACACTGACAGGTAGACAAGGGAGGGCAGTGAGGAGAGGGAGGCAGGCAGGGAGCCGGAGAGGTGGTTGCTCTGCAGCCCACTGCGGTGGGGGAAGGAAGGGAAGGGCACAGAAGGGAAAGGAGCTGAAGGGAAGGAGCTGAAGGGAAGGAGCTGAACAGGAGGAGCAGACGGGGAGGAGCAGAAGGCGAGGGGAGGAGAGGGGTTGAGTGATGTGCGTAAAACGCCTCAGAGCAGGGGAAACAAGGGAGCACAAGCTGCATACACGGCTTCTGGATGTATTGGTCAATGCTTCACACTCCTGATTTTTTAAGCTGACGTGAACAAGAAAGTTGCTGGCGTGGACAAGAAAGTTGCTGGCGTGGACAAGCACATTGCTGATGTGGACTCACATAAAAGTGACACTGGCGTGGTTGGCAAGCGATGATGGGAATGGCCCTGTGAGCTGGTTGTTGCCCAAATTGCTGCCACGTCAGCATGGTTGTGACGCACAAGAGTAGAGGGCGATGCATGTCGTGATGGGCGATGCATGCTGTGATGGGCGATGCATGTCGTGATGGGCGATGCATGTCGTGATGGGCGATGCATGTCGTGATGGGCGATGCATGTTGTGTTAGATGATACAGGAAGGGCGGAAGGAACACGCATTGAAACTCTTAGAACAGTCAGGGACGGCGGGCAGGAAAGAGATGATTTGTGCGAGAGCTGTATGCACATGGGGGGAGAGCGGGCTGCAACAGGGTGGGCGGCGAAACAGGAGACATGGTTACACGGAGGAGAGATGGTTACATGGAGGAGAGACGGTTACATGGAGGAGACATGGTTACATGGACGAGAGGTTTGGAAGGGCACTGAGGGCTTCGGGGATGGGCCCTGAGAGGAGATTGTAGGAGAGATCACTTGGGGGGGGTGGGGGGAGGGGGGAGGTGGGAGGGAAGGGGGGCCGGAGGGGTATGGAAGTGAGGGACAGCAGAAAGGATGGTGGGAGGACAAGATAAAGCTTCACAAACACGTGGCAGAACTTAAAATGGCATCAAAAGCAGGATATGTAGATTGAGTTTTTTTAGACTTCTAAAAAATCTCTTGGTTGGAAAACGAGGTACCTGGAAGGAACCTCTGTAAAATCAAGATCAGATAGGAGAGCGAGGCATGAACTTGCATTCATTGTGAAGGCGTGTCAAAGCGAGGCGTCAACTCGCATTGTGAAGCCGTCAACTCGCACGACACAAACGCTACTGAGTTAGGTTTTCCAATTACACGTTCATTGTGGGTTAAAGGAAAAACACGTGCAACAACAAGTGTATTTCGAGTCGACACGTGCAACAACAAGTGTATTTCGAGTCGACACGTGCAACAAGTGTATTTCGAGTCGACATGTGCAACAACAAGTGTATTTCGAGTCGACACGTGCAACAAGTGTATTTCGAGTCGAGACGTGCAACAAGTGTATTTTGAGTCGACTCAAACAACTCGTGCAACAACAAATTCGAGCAGAATTTTATCAAGGTTTGGCACCCCCCCTCACATGACACTGAGCTTATTGAGGAGGCTTATAGTGGGTGGAATGGAGCCGGTGAGATTGTTGCCGGCCAGATTGCTGCATGCGGAGGGGTGTGGGGTTGAGGACTTTTAGGGTGGCATGAAGGATTTAAGGGATGTGCTTTTGAGGCGCCTCAAAAATAGCTTTTGAGGGGAATGGGGGGCCGCATGGGGGGGGAGGGTGAGCGCATGGGGGGGAATGTGAGCGCATGGGGGGGAATGTGAGCGCATGGGGGGGAATGTGAGCGCATGGGGGGGATGTGAGCAGGTGGATGGCATCACGGCACAGTGATGATCGCTCTCATGTCGCATCGCATGCACAGGAGTCTATTTTTGAGGCGCCTCAAAAATAGACTTGTCCAACTCATGTCGCATCGCATGCACTATATATGTGAATCATTACTCGACGCCTGAGAGAGAAAGAAGCACTAGATAGAGAGGGTTAACTGACAGGAGGGTGGGTTCAGCGAGGGCAGTGATGACTGCAGGGATGCATGGACGGAGGGATGCATGGTCAGAGGGATGCATGGTCAGAGGGATTCAGAATCGGGGTAAACTGACAGGAGGGTGAGCTCAGCGAGGCCAGTGATGGACGTAGGGATGATGCCGGTGAGGTGGTTGCTGCCCAGAGACCTGCCCGCAATGGGGTGATGTGGTGCAGTGCGGTGTGATGCGATGCGATGTGGTGGGTTGCGGTGCGAAATGTGGATGTGGTACATTGGGCTCAATTGGCCAAACACTCATACTACCCAACAGACGAGATCGAAGCAAGAACGAGGCCATGGCGGGCTGTTGCTGGTGGCTTCTTCCGCTAACTTGCCAGCGGCTTCCCACTCATGTGAAAATTCTAAAAAAAAAACAACTGGAACTAATGCCGGTGGCTTCTTTCTACCTCTGCCTGGAAAGCGCGCTCAAAGCATTCGCAGCCGAAGCCGGGGTGGCATTCGCAGCATGCGGAATCTGGTGCATTGGGCTGAAGTGGCCAAACACCCATATTTTCTACTACCTCTGCCTGGAGACTTTTCAGTCGACTCAAAAGTCACCTCAAACACTCATACTGTCTTCCTCTGCCTGGAAAGCGCACTCACAGCATTCGCAGCCGACCCAAGCTGCCCAGCGCTGGCGGGATGGACCCTTTGAGATTTGCAGCGCTCACATCCCTGCAGTGGGGCGGTGGGGCACGCAAGCAAGGAGCACCGTGATCCAAGCAAGGAGCACCATGATCCAAGCAAGGAGCACCATGATCCAAGCAAGGAGCACCATGATCCTTGAATATTCAACTCGAAATACACATGGAGAGATTTGGATTCGACATACTTGCCTCCAGGTAGCGATGCATACAGGTGCTGAGCGATGCATACAGGTACTGAAGGATGCATGCAGGTACTGAAGGATGCATGCAGGTACTGAAGGATGCATGCAGGTACTGAAGGATGCATGCAGGTACTGGGGGATGCATACAGGTACTGAAGGATGCATGCAGGTACTGAAGGATGCATGCAGGTACTGAAGGATGCATGCAGGTACTGAAGGATGCATGCAGGTACTGAAGGATGCATGCAGGTACTGAAGGATGCATGCAGGTACTGGGGGATGCATACAGGTACTGAAGGATGCATGCAGGTACTGGGGGATGCATACAGGTACTGAAGGATGCATGCAGGTACTGAAGGATGCATGCAGGTACTGAAGGATGCATGCAGGTACTGAAGGATGCATGCAGGTACTGAAGGATGCATGCAGGTACTGGGGGATGCATACAGGTACTGAAGGATGCATGCAGGTACTGGGGGATGCATACAGGTACTGAAGGATGCATGCAGGTACTGGGGGATGCATACAGGTACTGAAGGATGCATGCAGGTACTGGGGGATGCATACAGGTACTGAAGGATGCATGCAGGTACTGGGGGATGCATACAGGTACTGAAGGATGCATGCAGGTACTGGGGGATGCATACAGGTACTGAAGGATGCATGCAGGTACTGGGGGATGCATACAGGTACTGAAGGATGCATGCAGGTACTGGGGGATGCATACAGGTACTGAAGGATGCATGCAGGTACTGGGGGATGCATGCAGGTACTGAAGGATGCATGCAGGTACTGGGGGATGCATACAGGTACTGAAGGATGCATGCAGGTACTGGGGGATGCATACAGGTACTGAAGGATGCATGCAGGTACTGGGGGATGCATACAGGTACTGAAGGATGCATGCAGGTACTGGGGGATGCATACAGGTACTGAAGGATGCATGCAGGTACTGAAGGATGCATACAGGTACTGAAGGATGTATGCAGGTACTGGGGGATGCATACAGGTACTGAAGGATGCATGCAGGTACTGGGGGATGCATACAGGTACTGAAGGATGCATGCAGGTACTGGGGGATGCATGCAGGTACTGAAGGATGCATGCAGGTACTGGGGGATGCATACAGGTACTGAAGGATGCATGCAGGTACTGGGGGATGCATACAGGTACTGAAGGATGCATGCAGGTACTGGGGGATGCATACAGGTACTGAAGGATGCATGCAGGTACTGGGGGATGCATACAGGTACTGAAGGATGCATGCAGGTACTGGGGGATGCATACAGGTACTGAAGGATGCATGCAGGTACTGGGGGATGCATACAGGTACTGAAGGATGCAAGCAGGTACTGGGGGATGCATACAGGTACTGAAGGATGCATGCAGGTACTGGGGGATGCATACAGGTACTGAAGGATGCATGCAGGTACTGGGGGATGCATACAGGTACTGAAGGATGCATGCAGGTACTGGGGGATGCATGCAGGTACTGGGGGATGCATACAGGTACTGAAGGATGCATGCAGGTACTGGGGGATGCATACAGGTACTGAAGGATGCATGCAGGTACTGGAGGATGCATACAGGTACTGGGGGATGCATACAGGTACTGAAGGATGCATGCAGGTACTGGGGGATGCATACAGGTACTGAAGGATGCATGCAGGTACTGGGGGATGCATACAGGTACTGGGGGATGCATACAGGTACTGAAGGATGCATGCAGGTACTGGGGGATGCATACAGGTACTGAAGGATGCATGCAGGTACTGGGGGATGCATACAGGTACTGAAGGATGCATGCAGGTACTGGGGGATGCATACAGGTACTGAAGGATGCATGCAGGTACTGGGGGATGCATACAGGTACTGAAGGATGCATGCAGGTACTGGGGGATGCATACAGGTACTGAAGGATGTATGCAGGTACTGGGGGATGCATACAGGTACTGAAGGATGTATGCAGGTACTGGGGGATGCATACAGGTACTGAAGGATGCATGCAGGTACTGGGGGATGCATACAGGTACTGAAGGATGCATGCAGGTACTGGGGGATGCATACAGGTACTGAAGGATGCATGCAGGTACTGGGGGATGCATACAGGTTCTGAAGGATGCATGCAGGTACTGGGGGATGCATACAGGTACTGAAGGATGCATGCAGGTACTGGGGGATGCATACAGGTACTGAAGGATGCATGCAGGTACTGGGGGATGCATACAGGTACTGGGGGATGCATACAGGTACTGAAGGATGCATGCAGGTACTGGGGGATGCATACAGGTACTGAAGGATGCATACAGGTACTGAAGGATGCATACAGGTACTGAAGGATGCATACAGGTACTGAAGGAGGGGTAGCGATGCAAGGGCAGCCGGGAGAGAGCCTGAGAGCAGGTTGGTCCCGATGGCCCTGCGAGCAGTGGGAGGGACAGGGGCCAGACGAGCGAGGATGAGAGGAGAAGGCGACGAGAGAAGGGAGACGCGAACGGGGATGGAGTGAGGGATGACGAGACGGAGAGAACAGGCAGAGAAAAGGGAGCGGGCAGAAAGGAGCAGCGGAGCGGAGAGAGTGAGGATTAAGAGAAAGGTGACATGCAAGTTGGGAATGAAGGGCTGAGGTTTATATGAGGAGGGGCAGTAATAAAGGAGGGGGTCCGGAGGAGGAGGAGGAGAACGAGGAGGAGGAGGAGGAGGAGGAGGAGGAGGAGGAGGAGGAGGAGGAGGAGGAGGAGGAGGAGGAGGAGGAGGAGGAGGAGGAGGAGGAGGAGGAGGAGGAGGAGGAGGAGGAGGAGGAGACAGGCGAGTACAGAATAGAGAGTGCTCGAGAAGAGGCAAGAAGGTTGCGAGTGGATGCATTTAAGGTTATCTAACACGAAGGAACCAGTTGAGTGGATGAGATCGCACTACAGTCCATCCAAACGAGCACGAGATGAAACAGCAGCGCCGCATGGAGTGAAACAGAAGCGCCGCATGGAGTGAAACAGAAGCGCCGCATGGAGTGAATCAGCAGAAGCATTACAGGTACTCAAGGCTGCTCAATGCACTGAAGCTGTTGGGTTTGATTGGAGTCTAGTTTTGAGGCGCCTCAAAACTAGCGCCGCATGGAGTGAAACAGCAGCGCTTACAGGTACTCGAGGCTGCTCAATGCACTGAGGCTGTTGGGAATGCTGCCAGTGAAGTTGTTGTGAGCCAGCATGCTGGGGGGTTACAGGAGGAGAAACACGGGAGAAGAGACACGGGAGAAGAGACACGGGAGAGTAACTTAAGGGTGGACGCACAACTCAAGCACATCACAAGCAAAACTCAAGCACATCACAAGCACAACTCAAGCACATTACAAGCACATCTCAAGCACATCACACGAAAGCAACTCTCAACAGGGCATCACCAATATCAACCAAGGGTTCTGAGCTCAAGCCAGCCACGCATTCATCACAGGGAAAATCATCACATGACCCCTGACCGGAACGTTTTTGGAGGCGCAAACTGGCGATGGTTATGTGAAACTAAAACTAACCGGAACAATTTTTTAGGCGCCTTATAAAATTGCCGTTGGTCAAATGACCACTGACCGGAAATTATTCGTATCTCATTTGCCCTTCATTTGAAATGGCGACGGCAACACCAACACTCAATTATCCACTTTCAAAACCGCAACCTTGCCTGCAGTAGGCAGGCTCACAGGAGCTGCAGGGATGCGGGGATTGCGATGGTATGGGGAGAAAAATGTCGCCTAAGTAGACTCCAATCTGGACATTTTCTCATAGTCCATGAAAGAAAGACCTACAGGCGCTGTGCTGCAAGGTCGTAACTCTTGAGGATGTGAGAGATGTGACTATAGAATCGCGGCTTGACTAACTCCTTTCCTTGCGGCATTTGGAAGTTGATATTCTCTTTCTCAGCAGCTCAGACTCAGACTCACAGGCGCTGAAGGGCGGTGAGGGGGTCAGACTCACAGGCGCTGAAGGGCTGTGAGGGAGGCAATGGTATCGGGGATGACTCCAGTGAAGGCCCCGTTGTAGAGGGCACTGCAGTGAGTGGGCGCGGGAACAGAGCACATGGTATCAGAACACAAGGTATCACAGCACACAGTATCAGAGCACAGCACACAGCATTACAGCACATAGCATCAAGAGCACAGAGCTAAAAAACAAGCCTGCGTTGGATCAGAACCAACTCAGAGCCCATATCCCAGAACCCACATCCCAGAGAGCGTCTCACATTAAAACGGACATCCCAGAACGCGTACAGCTCTGTGTACAGTTCTGTCCAGTTCTGGCTGGACAACGTACAGTTCTGTGAGCTGCGTGAGTGCCGAGAGGAAGGCTGGCACGGAGCCAGTCATGTTGCTGTCCAGTAGAGAGCTGCCGGGGGGGAGGGGGAAGAGGGGGGATGGGGGTTGGGGAAGGAGGAATCGAGGCAGGAGGGAGCTGAGAGGAAGGCGGAAAAGGAGTCATGTTGCTGTCGAGAAGCGAGCTGCAGGGGAGGAGGGAGAACGGGGGGTTGGGGGGTGGGGAGGGGGGCAGTCATGTTGCTGTCAAGAAGCGAGCCAAAAGACGAGGAGGGAGGGGCAAGGGGGGAAGAGGGAGGAAAAGCATGGGGGTGCATCAGAGCTGTGGGGGTGGATCCGCGCGTGTACGGCTAGACGATGCACATATCTGTGGAGAGACTCTCACAGGGAGGCGAGAAGGGCGCTCACAGGGAGGCGAGTGCAGTCAGCTGGGCAATGGCTGAGGGCATGCTGCCAGCCAGTGCTGCACCGGAGAGATGCCTGCAGAATAGCATAGTAGGACAGGTAGATGTAAAAAAAAAGGGCCCAAAAAAAGCCTCAAAACGCGCCAAAAATAACGCCTCAAAAGTCCTCCTGCCAGCCAGCGATGCACTGGAGAAATGCCTGCAGAACAGCACTGTTGGATAGATGCGTGAACGAGAGAAGAGAATGGGAGATCCCTGCTCAGGAGGAAGGGTGGTGCTAAAGCGTGGCGCTGATAGGGAGGCGAGGCACTGACAGGGCGGCGAGGCGGCGGAGACTGCTGATGGAGTCGGGAATGGAAGCAGCTCCTCCGGTGCTCAGGTCAAGCGCTCTGACCGTTGGTTGCCGCATAACATCGAAATGCACAAGAGAAGGGAAGAAGAGGGAAGTTTTTCGTTGCATGCCAAAGCGTATAACAAAACATCCAACAAAACATACAACAAAAAGAACGTACAATAGCAGGGTAGTAACAGTTACCGCACAAAAAGGAGGGCTGTAACAGTTACCACACAGAAAGGAGGGCTGTAACAGTTACCACGCAGAAAAGGTGGTTGCAACAGTTACCACTCCAGAAAGAGGGTTGTAAGAGTTACCACACCGGAGGGAGGGTGCAACAGTTACGACACCGGAAGGAGGGTTGTTACAGTTACCACACCGGAAGCAGGGTTGAAGGAGGGTTGTAACAGTTACCACACCAGAAAGGGGGTTGTAAGAATTACCACATTGGAAAGGGGGTTGTAAGAGTTACCACACTGAAATGAGGGTTAAAGGAGGGTGCAACAGTTACAGCTCTGTGAGATGGGTGAGGCTGCCAATGGCGGTGGGGAAGGGTCCCGGCAGTCCCGAGGGCACTTGCTGGGATGTGAGAGTCCTGCAATGGAGGGTGGAGGGGGCGAAGAGGGGGAGGGCGGCCAGGAAAGGAAACCTGCTGTCATACAGTGGGAGTCCCGAGGGCACTTGCTTGGGTGTAACTTCTTAGAATTCTCAAAACCACCTTCAGCATGAGGGCCCTTGCTTGGGTGTGAGGGGCCTGTAACCGGAGAGAGGGGGGGGGGGGTTTGGGAAGGGGGGAGGAGGAGGAGTGGAGCCGAGGGGAGGGTGCTGTTTCTTGAGCCTTCGCAGAACGAATCAAAGCAAGCATGCTGCGGCAAGATCCTGGGCAGTCCCGAGGGCACTTGCTGGGGTGTGAGGGACTTGCATTGCAATGAGGGGGGAGGAGGTTAAAGATGGGAGAGGAGAGGGGGGCGGTAGAAGGGGAGGGGAAGATGTGCAGCATGAGAGGAAGAGGGCAGCAGCAGGGAGGGGCAGGGAAGGGGGATGAGATGGGATGGGTGAGGCTGCCAAACGCGGTGGGCCAGTGGGGAAGGGGTCGGGTAGTCCAGAGGGCACCTGCTCGAGTGTGAAGGTCATGCAATGCGAAGGGGAGGAAGAGAGGGGGGGCAGGGGAAGGGGGCTAGAGGAGGGGGGGGCAGAGGAGGGGTTCCAGGGGAGGGGGGGCAGAGTAGGGGGGCTAGAGGAGCATATAGCGTGCCACAGAGTAGCAGAGTGAGTGCCGAGTGGCAGAGTGAGTGCCAAGTGGCAGAGTGAGTGCCGAGCGGCAGAGTGAGTGCCGAGGGGCAGAGTGAGTGCCGAGTGGCAGAGTGAGTGCCAAGCGACAGAGTGAGTGCCGGGCGGCAGAGTGAGTGCTGAGTGGCAGAGTGATTGCCGAGCGGCAGAGTGAGTGCGGAGCATGACCATTCCATTATCTTCGCCTTTATCAGCCAAACTTCTCCAACTTCTCTCACACGCTGATAGCGACCCTCCTCTCACCACATGCCAGCCCAGTGGCCTTGCTGCAGGTGCCATCGGCACACTTCTCATGGAGACTCACTCCGTTAGCATCACTCACACAGTCTCGACACCCCCCCCCCGCCTCCCCTCCCTCCCCCCCTCATCGCACGTCAGCCTAGAGCCCATATCACAGGTGCTTCCTGAGGCACCGAAAAAAACTAAATACTATCTCATTGACATGCTGATGACAAACCCCACCTCTTCGCAAGCCAGCCCAGAGCCCATACAACAGGTGCTTTCTGAGGCGCCTCAACAAGCTATATTTTGAGGCGCCTCAACGAACTATCTCACATGCTGGTGACAACCCCCCCCTCATCGCACGCCAGCCCGGTGGCCGCATTCTTGAGTCGACTCAAAACTATCGCACTCACATGCTGGTGACGAACCCCCCCTCATCGCACACCAGCCCGGTGGCCACATCGCAGTTGCCATCGGCGCGCCACTCGCTGAGGCTCACTCCCCACCCTGCTTGCATCTCCAGCAGAGGGGGCACTGGGGAAAGGGGGAGGGCGAGTGGGGGGGGGGAGAACGGGGAAGGTAACTGATGGGGGAGCTGGGAGCATGAGGATCTAGCTCCACTCGCTGAGGCTCACTCCCCACCCTGCCTGCAGCTCCAGCAGAGGGGGCACTGGGGGAAAAGGGGGGGGGGAAGAGGGGGGGCGGGAACGATTTTTGAGGCGCCTCAAAAACCCTGCCTGTAGCTCCAGCAGAGGGGGCACTGGGGGAAAAGGGGGGGGGAAGTGGGGGGGCGGGAACGGGCGAGGTAATGGATGGGGGAGTTGGAGGCTGGAGCATGACGATCTAGCGCCACTCGCTCGCTTGCTTTCCAGCAGAGGGGGCTCTCGGGGATGGTGGTGGGAAGGGGGGGAAGGGTCACCACTGGGACCGTCGGGGGACCGGAGAGGAGATGAGGGGACCGTGGGGGAACCGTGGGGGGACCGTGGGGGGACCGGGGGGAAACTGTCACCACTGGCTGAGGCTCAGAGCCCACCCCGTCTGCATCTGCAGCAGAGGGGGAGTAGGAAAAGGCAGAGGGGGCAGGAAGGGGTAGGGGAACTGTCCTGTCACCATATCCCACTCCGCCATGGTGACAGTCACCAAGTTGAGGCTCAGAGCCCACCCCGCCTGCATCTGCAGCAGAGGGGGAGTAGGAGAAGGCAGAGGGCGAGCAACAAAGGGTCCCGTGTGAATGGAGAAAGAGGGGCGTTTGGTGTGGGAGATACAAGGGAAAAGGGAGGGAGGGCTGGGAACTAGTTTTGAGGCGCCTCAAAACGTGTAGGAGATACAAGGGAAAAGGGAGGGAGGACTGGGAACTAGTTTTGAGGCGCCTCAAAACGTGTAGGAGATACAAGGGAAAAGGGAGGGAGGACTGGGAACTAGTTTTGAGTCGCCTCAAAACGTGTAGGAGATACAAGGGAAAAGGGAGGGAGGACTGGGAACTAGTTTTGAGGCGCCTCAAAACGTGTAGGGGATACAAGGGAAATGGGAGGGAGGACTGGGATCTGGAGAAAGCATGTCACTCTCTCCACTCGTTCAATCCAGGTGTGTTTTGCGGCGCCTCAAACTGAGGCTGGGGAATGAGGATCTAGCGCCACTCGTTGAGGCTCACTCCCCACCCCGCTCGCATCTCCAGCACAGGGGGCACTGGGGGACATGTCACTCAAACGGGCACTGGGGGACATGTCACTCTAAGGGGCACTGGGGGACATGTCTCTCAAAGGGGGGGACATGTCATGTCTTTGAGGGTCTCGTTCCACTCGTTCAGTCCAGGTGTGTCTTGCGGCGCCTCAAAGTGAGGCTCGGGGGACCGTGCAGATGGTCAAGACGGCCAAGGGTACAGACCGCCAAGGGCACAGACAGCCAAGGGAAAAGACGGCCAAGGGCACAGACGGACGGCCAAGGCTACAGACGGCCTAGGGTACAGACGACCAAGGGCACAGACGGCCAAGGGAACAGACAGCCAAGGGCACAGACGGACGGCCAAGGGTACAGACGGCCAAGGACACGGACGGCCAAGACGGCCAAGGGCACAGACGGCCAAGGGCACAGACGGCCAAGGGAACAGACGGCCAAGGGTACAGACGTACGGCCAAGGGTACAGACGGCCAAGGGCACGGACGGCCAAGACGGCCAAGGGCACAGACGGCCAAGGTTACTACAGACGGCCGAGGGCACAGACGGCCAAGGGCACAGACGGCCAAGGGCACAGACGGCCACGGGTACAGACGACCAAGGGAACAGACGGCCAAGGGCACAGACGGACGGCCAAGGCTACAGACGGCCTAGGGTACAGACGACCAAGGGCACAGACGGCCAAGGGAACAGACAGCCAAGGGCACAGACGGACGGCCAAGGGTACAGACGGCCAAGGACACGGACGGCCAAGACGGCCAAGGGCACAGACGGCCAAGGGCACAGACGGCCAAGGGAACAGACGGCCAAGGGTACAGACGTACGGCCAAGGGTACAGACGGCCAAGGGCACGGACGGCCAAGACGGCTAAGGGCACAGACGGCCAAGGTTACTACAGACGGCCGAGGGCACAGACGGCCAAGGGCACAGACGGCCAAGGGCACAGACGGCCACGGGTACAGACGACCAAGGGAACAGACGGCCAAGGGAACAGACGGCCAAGGGAACAGACGGCCAAGGAAACAGGCGGCCAAGGGTACCGACGGTCAAAACGGTCAAGACGGCCAAAAAAGCAAGATGGTTCAGACAGACATTCAGATGGCGAGGTCCAACCCAATGCTGCCCCGTCCGGCGATCCATGGGAGCTCCGGCTGTATCTTCTCCGGCCGGGATCTCCGAGGTGGGGATCTCCGAGGTGGGGATCTCCGAGGCAGGGAAAATTGCTTGCGTGATTAAGCTTTGGAGCTGCCGGCGGATGAGAGCCTACGTTCTGGAAAGCCGGGCTTGGGGCCCTCTGGACAACAGAAGAGTCACAGCAGGGCGACACAGAAGGGCGACTCGCCAGGGCGAGACAGCAGGGCGTCCTCTTGGACTGCTTATAGCGGAGAACAGGCAGTGGTCGCTCGGGACTATAAGCGTAGCTGCTAGAAGCCGTTGCTGCTTCGCAGTAGCGCCAGGAGTGGGTGCCGCGAGCAGGATAGCTGTACCCTTGCGAGGCGGTGTCAATGAGGGCGCTGCCTGCATGCATGGGGAGGGGTTTCTTGAACCCGTCTCAGAAGACAAATTTTAGAGGAGCCGCAGAAAATGGACAGCTGTACCCCTGTGAGACGTGAATGAGGGCGCTGCACGCATAGGGAGGGGTGTCTTGATTGCGCCTCAGAAGACTATTCTTGAGGCACCACAGAAATGGGCAGCTGTACCCTGCGAGGCGTGAATGGAGGCGCTGCATGCATGCATGCATGCATGGGGAGGGGTTTCTTGAACGCGTGTCAGAATTTCAACAGAATTTCTGTTGAACGGAACGCCGCGGCGGCTGTACCGTGCGAGGAGTCGACGAGGTCGGCGAGGAAAGGGAGGAGAAATGGGAGGACAAATGGGAGGATCATACTCTTATGCGTCTCGCAGGAGAACTTTGGCTGCCAGTTTACCTTGCGAGGAGTCGATGAGGACGGCGAATGCAGAGTATGGACGAAGCACGAGGAGCGAGGCGAGGAGGAGACCCACGGACGACTCGGACAGGAGGTTGCGGCCGCGGCGGGACTCGGCGCGCTTCCGGACAACGCTGCGCGAGTGCGCGGACCCTTGGCGGCGAGCGCGCGAAAAGGGTTGTACAGCGAAGAGCGGCGGCCAACGAGCCATGCGGTGCCGTGTAGCGTTCAACTCGGAGTTGATATGATGCTACCTAGTTCGACACGGTGAGTGCGGGGCGAAACGGGTTTGAGTGCATAGGAATGTGACGGAGTGACAACGAGATCATGTCGCGTCGCAAGTGATGAATCTTAGTCTCCTGAACTACGACATGCCATGACTGCAGCAGTGGAGAAACAAGAATGGAGGAAGAAAGCAAGACGAACAAGAGCAAGAAAAGAACCGGCAGCGCCGAGCATTGTGGTCCTGGCATTTGCCCCCAAGGAAAGACATTGCGGCTTGTACAGCTTCGCAACAAAGGGTGCAAAGAGAGCGTGAAATTTCATTTCATTGAGCCTACAAAGACGTAGAATTCGGGTAGGTCCAACTAGCACGTCTGTTTGTGGTGCAGAACTTGCTTTGCGTTTCAAAGGGTTCGAAAAGCAACCTAGAATGGTTGGGTGAGGTATTTTGCGAAAATGTATTTTTCGGACCCGCCCTTAGCTGAGCATTGTTGGTTGGGAGAGGGGTGCTGCCCGTGGCTGCCATAGTGGAACCTCGGGGTCAGGGATTCCCGAAACTCTGCTTGTCCGCGTTTGTGTCTTTAGCGTTCATACACCAACAGCGAGTCTACAATACCAATCCTTTCTGTATGGACAAGTTTGACTCACATCCATCCTATGCAGGGCTCTACTACACATATGCCTAAAGGATGTAAATAACATTTTCAATCACACATATTGTGTTCAAATACGCTTAAAAATAATTAAAATGCATGATATTGAGAATATGTACCCTCGTCTTCCATTAAACGTTTTCCTCCACATTAGACATGGCTATCTTGGTACTGATCCTCATGTGTGATTGATAATGTTGCAACATGCAATGCCATGTTACAGAAAACTCCACAAGGCAAGTGTTTGATGTCATTACCAGTAGAAAGATATGTTTGAATACTAATGAAGTATCAATTTGGGGCTGCGGCTAACAACTGTAGCTGGAATTACATTAAGACATAGAAGGCAGGAGAAATGAGGCGGAACACGCCCTAGGTATTGCTTCATGTGGACAAGGCAACCTTGGCCAACTCGGCTCTGTCATTTAGACTAGAGGATTCTCAACAAGGGCTCATTGATAACCTCAAGGGATCGTTCGCTGTGTCGAAGTGACTTGCTGCGTATTGGTTGTAACTACGCGATAGAAACAGCCAGATGAGTCGTCAACGTACGGTTGACTTATTTATCTAGTAGACTTCGTTAGTAGCGCGTGTTTAGCAGGTGTTTAGCGTGTTTAGTAGACATCAGGGCGTGGCTTCTAGAACAATCTCGATGCTTCCTGCCATGGCCCTCCCTTCGCTCCGGCTATCGCCTGGAACAACCACCCTAGTCTCCTCTAGATTACAAGGCTCACGGGGATTTCAAAATGAGCAGGGAAAACTGCAGGATCATCATCAGCCGCAGCAGCAGCGCATTTCCTCACCCAGCCACCGCCAACAACATCATCATTATCACCATCATCGGCATCATCGGCACGTGTGCAGACTACCTCACTCGAGACCAGCAAGCAGCATCGGCCGAGTTGTTGCCGCGGGTGGCCGCCATGATTATAACGAGTACGCGGATCGCGAGGGCATAGCAGACAGCAACTTTCCGTCGACTCGCTCAAATGAGGAGAGAGGAAGAGCGAATGACATTAGAAACACACCAACTGGAAACAGGAGCACTAGTGATGCTCTGAATGTAGAGGGACATGAATGGGGTAGGTCTCATGGTAGGGCTTCGGCTGTAGCAGGAGCTGTGGTGGCAAGCTTGACAAGTAGCAGCCTGGCGGCCCCCTCCCATGCGCTTGCTGCTGCGGGGAATGCTGCTGCGATTTCCGCAGCTCTAGCTGCTGCTGCAGCAGCTGAAGCAGCAGCCGAGGCGGCAGCGTACGCAGCAGAAGCGGCAATTGCAGCGGCAGAGGCAGCAGCAGAGGCAGCCGAAGCCGCAGCAGAGGCAGCGGCGGCAGCAGCAGAAGCAGCAGGGGCAGCAGGAGGAGGAGCAGGGGGAGCAGGAATGGCTTTGCAGAATGCAGTATGGCAGTTGGCCTCTGTACCACTATTTAAAGACCTACACGTAGACGTAGACCACCTCCTGTCAGGTTCATTATCATCCCTCCCGTCCTCTCTCCCTCTCTCGCTTTCTCTCAGCCTTCCCTTCTTAGCCCAAGTAGGTGCCACACCCATTGCTGTAGAAAATATTGTCACTACTACTGCTGCCCTCTCTGTCACTGGCGGTTCTGCTGCTGGTGGTGCAGCAGCAGCAGCAGCAGGGGTGGGAGGAGCAGCAGCTGCAGCGTTGGGCGAGTGGCAGGACCCTGTGATGGGGCTCGTGACGCTGCTGGGTTCTCTCATCTGGGTGCGGCTGTTTGACGAGCTGGCCAGAAGGGACCTCATAGAGCGGGTGAGTGAGCCTTGAACTGACTCCAACTTGAAATGGGTGAGAGTGGTGCAGCAGCGTGGCTGGGATTGGCGATGGGTGGGCGAGTGGCAGGACCCTGTGATGGGCCTCGTGACGCTGCTATGGTCGCTCATCTGGGTGCGGCTGTTCGACGAGCTGGCCATGAGAAACCTGATAGAGCGGGTGAGTTGTGTTTGGAGGAGAAAACGTATTATTGCCTTAGTGAGGCGGAGCTGGCATGAGCTTGGGTTTGGATGAGAGGAGGGTGAGAGGAGAGGGGAAAATACGAGAGATGATTGGAAAATGATAGAGTTGAAGGGGAGAATGAGAGAGTTGAGGGGAGAATGAGAGAGTTGAGGGGAAATTGAGAGGGATGGGGGGAACATGAGAGGGGTGGGGGGGAAATGAGAGGGGTGGGGGAAAGAGAGGGGGGGGGGGAATGAGAGGGGTGGGGGAAAGAGAGGGGTGGGGGGAAAATGAGAGGGGTGGGGGGAAAATGAGAGGGGTGGGGGGGAAATAAGAGAGGTGAGGGGGAAATGAGAGGGGTGGGGGGAAAATGAGAGGTGAGGGTCAAGTCAAGTAAGAGGGGAGAGCAACAGTACCTTCACTGCGTCGTTTGGTCACGATGTAAGGCAGGTAAGCGAAATGCTTAACCCTTGGTCCGTTCCTTCCTGTCCCGTCCATTCTTGTCTCCGCTACTGTCCGATTCTCTAAGTGCAGAAACTGAGTCGCCTTTGAGTCGACTCAAAAGCCTTCCTGTCCCGCCCATTCTTGTCTCCGCTTCTGTCCGATTCTCTAAGTGCAGAAACTGAGTCGCAAGCTGGTGCACATCACCACGGGGCTGCTCTTCATGCTCTTCTGGCCGCTCTTCAGGTCAGCTCCCTTCAGCCCCCCCTCCTTGCTCTTCCGGTCAGCTCCCTGTCTCCCCTTCCCTTCAGCCCCCCGTGCTCTTCCCTATCCCCACTCACAGCACCAGCTTCAACGCCCGGTTCTTCGCCAGTGCCATGCCACTCATCAATGCCACCCACCTGCTGCTGCTATTGTGGCTGGGGGAGTCGCAATGCCAACCCCATTCCTCATCCTCACACCCCCCCCCTCCCCCTTTCCCACTCACAGCACCAGCTTCAACTCCCGGTTCTTCGCCAGTGTCGTGCCTCTTATCAATACCACCCGCCTGCTGGGAGTCTGGGACGTGGAGGCATGGGGCCACCTTGTCCCTCATCCCTCATCCTCACAACTCTCCCCCTCCTTCCCCTCCCCTCCCTTCCCCCCACAGCACTGGCTTCAACGCCTGGTTCTTCGCCAGCGCCGTGCCGCTCATCAACGCCACCCGCCTGCTGGGGCTGCGGCTGTGCACAGCCTGCTGCATCACATCACCTTCCAATCCTCCCTCCTCCCACTTCCTCTTGTAACAACCAACCATCCCCTCCCTCCCACAGCACCGGCTTCCACGCTCCCCCTCATCCCTCTCCCCCAACCACCCCCTCCCTCCCTCCCTCCCACAGCACCAGCTTCAACGCTCGTTTCTTCGCCAGCGCTGTGCTGCTGATCAATGCCACCCGCCTGCTGCTGCTGGGGCTGGGACTGGGAGTCGTATGCCAACCTCCCTCTCATCCCTCTCCCCCAAACCCCCTCGCTCCCCTCCCTCTCTCCCAACCTCCCTCTCTCCCCTCCCTCTCTCCCAACCCCCCTCTTTCCCCTCCCTCTCTCCCAACCCCACTCTTTCCCGTCCCTCTCTCCCAAACCCCCTCTCTCCCCTCCCTCTCTCCCAACCCCCCTCTCTCCCCTCCCCCACTCACAGCACCAGCTTCAACGCGCGTTTCTTCGCCAGCGCCGTGCCGCTCATCAATGCAACCCGCCTCGTGCTGCTGGGGCTGGGAGTGACTCGCAACGAGGGCATGGTGAAAGCCATGAGCCGAGAGGGCAGCTCCAGGTAAGATTACTGTAGCACACGCGGGTACTATAGCGCGGGTTGTGGGTGTAGCATGGGATGGTAGTACTGTAGCACGGATTGTGCGTGTACCAGGGGGGATGGTACTGTAGCACATGCGGGTGGGATGGTGTTGTTGCACATGTGGCGGCTACTGTAGCAGATACTGTTTCGACAGCACTTGCATGTGTGAACGCACTTTTGCACCTCATCCCGGTTCTCAGCCTCCTGTCTTATTCATTCATTCATAGTATGGGCTGTTCATTTATTTCATCCTGGTTCATTTATTTCCTCCCGGTTAATTTATTTCATCCCGATTCATTTATTTCATCCCGGTTCATTTATTTGCTCCCGGTTCATTTATTTCCTCCCGGTTCATTTATTTCCTCCCGGTTCATTTATTTCATCCCGGTTCATTTATTTCATCCCGGTTCATTTATTTCATCCCGGTTCATTTATTTCCTCCCGGTTCATTCATTTCCTCCCGGTTCATTTATTTCATCCCGGTTCATTCATTTCATCCTGGTTCATTTATTTCCTCCCGGTTCATTTATTTCATCCCGGTTCATTTATTTCCTCCCGGTTCATTCATTTCCTCCCGGTTCATTCATTTCCTCCCGGTTCATGTATTTCCTCCCGGTTCATTTATTTCCTCCCGGTTCATTTATTTCCTCCCGGTTCATTCATTTCCTCCCGGTTCATTTATTTCCTCCCGGTTCATTTATTTCATCCCGGTTCATTTATTTCCTCCCGGTTCATTTATTTCCTCCCGGTTCATTTATTTCCTCCCGGTTCATTTATTTCATCCCGGTTCATTTATTTCATCCCGGTTCATTCATTTCCTCCCGGTTCATTTATTTCCTCCCGGTTCAGTCATTTCCTCCCGGTTCATTTATTTCATCCCGGTTCATTCATTTCATCCTGGTTCATTGATTTCCTCCCGGTTCATTTATTTCATCCCGGTTCATTTATTTCCTCCCGGTTCATTTATTTCCTCCCGGTTCATTTATTTCCTCCCGGTTCATGTATTTCCTCCCGGTTCATTTATTTCCTCCCGGTTCATTTATTTCCTCCCGGTTCATTTATTTCCTCCCGTTTCATTTATTTCCTCCCGGTTCATTCATTTCCTCCCGGTTCATTTATTTCCTCCCGGTTCATTCATTTCCTCCCGGTTCATTTATTTCCTCCTGGTTCATTTATTTCATCCCGGTTCATTTATTTCCTCCCGGTTCATTCATTTCCTCCCGGTTCATTCATTTCCTCCCAGTTCATTTATTTCCTCCCGGTTCATTTATTTCCTCCCGGTTCATTCATTTCTCTTCTCCCATTATTCCCTCCCTCCCCCCCCCCCCCTTCCACTACAGTGAGCTTTTGGGCGGTCCCCTCTACTATATCCTCACCCTGGCCTTCGTTACAATCACATTCTGGCGCTCCTCGCCTGTAGGGGGGATGGCACTCGCACTCATGTGCGGTGGTGATGGTAGGTGATGGTAGGTGATGGTAGGTGATGGTAGGTGATGGTAGGTGATGGTAGGTGATGGTAGGTAGTGTCGGTCAAAACTTACACTTTCCCCTCCAGCTCCCGCTTTTCCCTTGGGCTCCCGCTTTTTCCCTACAACTTGCTCCCCTTGTATCCTCCCGCTTTATTGCTCCATCTCTCTCCTTTCCCTTCTTTCCCACACCGTGCCCCACCGTGTCACTCTTCCAACCCTCCTTCCAGGCATCGCTGACATAGTGGGGCGGAGGGTAGGATCTTCAAAGCTTCCTTGGAACGACCAGAAGAGTTGGGCGGGGAGCATTGCCATGCTGCTCTTTGGCTATGGCCTCGCACTCGGGTGCGTGCTCGTTTGCATTACACCTTTGCCTTGCGCACTGCTTGCTTCTTGGATGTTGCTGGTGTGCCTGCTTGCTTGAAATGCTGCTTGCTGGTAACCAGCATTGCCACCCTTCTCGTTGGCAATGACGCATGGTATGGAGCCATGTTCTTGCTCAATAGAAGTCTAGTTTTGAGGTGCCTCAAAACTAGACTTCCATCTCGTTGGCTGTGGACTTGCACTCGGCTATGCTCTTGCTTTTGCTCTTGCTCTTGCTTTTTCTTTCTTTGCTTGCTTTGCTTCCTTGCTTACCTGTTGCTTGCCTGTGCGTGATTCCTTTTTTCCTGCCCCCACTAGCGGCTGTTCTCTTGTGCTCTGCCCTCCCCTCTCCTACCCTTTCCCTTCCCTATATCCTCTTCCCATCTTTTCCTTATCTTCCCTCGCCTCCCCCTGTCCCTCACACCATCAGCACCATTCACCTTTTCACCGCAGTCGGGTTCTACTCTTCTGATTGGCTGCTGCTGCCGAACCTGCCCCTCCGAGTCTTCCTGGTCAGCCTCGGAGCTACAGTGGTGGAATCTCTGCCACTCAGCGACAAGTTAGACGACAACCTCACTGTACCACTCTCCACCGTTCTCTTTGGCCTCCTGCTGCTGCATTAGTGGTAACCGAAGGGTTAGAGGTGTGGCCCTTGCGTGTTCTGGTTCATTCACAAATCATGCTCTTGGGTTGACTCAAACTTATCACTCGATTGAACCTGCTGTCCTGTAACAGCTTTGTAACAAATTTGTTGTGCTCGGTGTGCACCAATGCTGCTGAATTCCAGCTGTGCTTTCTATTCTACTAGACCCCAGCAGGCTGGCTAAGTCAAATGCAGAGCGCTGGGGAATAGAGCACCGCTTCAGTGAGTGGGGATTCGGGAAGCTACGTAGGTGAAGAAATGGCGGATCAACCATAGACCAGAGACTCCGATTCTTCTCCCGGGCTTTCATAATCAATTACAGGTGGCAGCTTCCATCACTTAGCCAGCTCAGCTTCCAGCCTGGCAACCTCCTCTTTCATCGACTCCAGGAAGCCAGCATCCTCAGCCACCTTCTGCTGGTACTTGGCGAAGGACTCCTCCGCCTTCTTCAGCTCCTTCTCCACGCCCTGGCGTGGGTGTAGGGATGGGTGGGGGGTTGCAGGCAGAGAGGGGAGGGGAGAGGCGGGGAGAAGGGGGGAGAAGGGGGGCGGTATGGGATTAGCGGGGGGAACAGCAACCTTCTGCCAGTACTTGGTGAAAGACTCCCCTGCTTTCTTCAGCTCCTTCTCCACGCCCTGGCATGCACCGGCAGGGTTGCAGGGGGGGGGGAGAGGGGAGGGGGAGAGGGGGGGGGTTTCGGGGGGAAGCGGGAGTTGGGGGTTGGTGGTGAGTGAGGAGTGGTGGAATTTTTTTCGCCGGGTTAGCTTCGTGCATTTTTTTTCTTCGCAAGGGCTCGACAGGCAGACACGTCAGCGCGCGAAACACCCGTCTGGTTTCCTGCCTTTTTTCTTTCTCCGGGGCTGGGCTGTGCGTGCTAGGAACAGACACTCAGTTGGCGCTTTCGTAGTAGTAGATCATGATACCCCTTCCCTTGGACATACGCTTCAAACACTATGTACTGTGACCGCTACCATGTCAGGCTGCAGAGCACGCACCTTCTTTGCTTTGGCAGAGAGCTCCTTCCCGTCCTTATCATGAGTCGGCACGCCCTTGTCGTCCCACGCACTGTACTTATCAACCGCCCTCTTGAATAACTCAGAGGGAGGTGTAGATGCTGCCTGCCACCGCTCCAGGTCCTTCACCTGTGGCACAAAGGGGAAGGAGAGGGAGGGTGCTGATGGGGCTCAAGGGATATCGACAAGGGGAGATTGATAAGGGATCCGAGCCTTCCCATCTCTGACAGAGGGACGTGTAGATGCTGCCTGCCACCACTCCAGGTCCTTCACCTGTGGCGAAAGGGGGGTTGGGAAGCGGCAAAAGGGGGCTTCTATCATCTCATGATCTCTTCCATGGCTGATCTACGTAGGTCAGCTATGGATGAGAGTGCACTCATCCCCCCTCCGATCCTGAGGTGCGGATCGCCTGGAAAACCCAGAGTGCACCCTGAGTCATGACTGCCTGAGTAACATTGTGAGGGGGACCATGATGACTGTCAGATGTGGAAATTTGGGAATGCAGGAGCAGTTCCACGATACGACTAGAAGGAATTGCAAGGTATTGCACGATGTGTTGCTCCATCCATATCGTGGAACTGCTTTTGAGTCGGCATGGAGCGATTCTTGAGGCGCCTCAAAAACGGAATTGCACGATGTCTTGCTCCATCCATATTGTGGAATTGCTTTTGCATCGACTCAGAAGGAGGCATGGAGCGCGACAGCCATAACGTTGACCTGCTACGAGGTGCAGTGAAGACGATCCCGCTTCACCGTTTCTCCTCACCCCCCCCATCTCACCTTAACAGCCAGTCTTGTCTGTAGTCTCCTTTTGGCCTCAGCAACAGCCATGGCAAACCTCTCATCCATCCCTGCCTTAAGAACACATCTCATCTCAGCCTAGACGTTATCCAGTTTCACCACTGCTGGCCTGTCTTCCCCGTTGACCCAGCTCACCCAGGCCCTACTCCCTAGCCTCAATTGGACCAACTCACCTTAGCAGCCAGTTTCGTCTGCAGTTTCCTATTGGCCTCAGCAGCAGCCTTGGCAATCCTCTCGTCCCGCTCCGCCCCGAGCACCTTGGGGTCATCCAGCTTCACCACCGCTGCCTCAACTCCACTCAGAATTTCGCACTCTCTCAAAGCCAGGTCACGCCACAAGCCACTCTGCAGCAACCTTGGGATCATTCAGCTTCACCACCGCTGACTCCCCACCCGCCCCTCCCCCCTCAACCACTTCACCACCGCTGCCTACCCTTCCACTCATAAATCATGCATTCTCTCAACGCCACCTCAAGCCCCAACCTCTCACCTTTGCTGCCAGTTTCGTCTGCAGTTTCCTCTTGGCCTCAGCACCAGCCTTGGCAATCCTCTCGTCCCGCTCCGCCCCGAGCACCTTGGGGTCATCCAGCTTCACCACCGCTGCCTCCCCCCCAGCCCCTCCCCGGTCCTCGCAGCGGATCCCAAGGTCCACCATCGCGTAATCTCTGACTTTATCTGTGAGGGAGAGGAGCTCGTCCTGCATACGAGGAGACGGGTTAGTAAGAGCCTAGAGGGTTGAAAGGAGGTATCATTGAGTTGCCCCTCCCCGCCTGGTCCTCGCAGCGAATCCCAAGGTCTGCCATCGCATAGTCTCTGACTTCATCTGTGAGGGAGAGGAGCTCGTCCTGCAAAGGAGGTGTATGGGATTAGAGGGCACAAGGAGATTTGGGAAGGATGGAGAGGGTCAGAGGAAGCTCATACTGGCGTTACAGAATGCACGCAACCACCCCTCCTCGCCTCGGCCCTCGCAGGGAATCCCAAGGATCCCCTCCCCCCACTACCCATCGCATTTCAAGGCGCCTCAACTTTTGACTTCTGAGGCACCTCAAAAGTCCTCATAGGGAATCCCTAGGGTCCCCTCCCCACTCCCCATCGCATAGTCTCTGACTTCATCCCTAAGGGAAAGCAGTTCGTACTGCAGGGAGCAATGCAAGGGGTAGAGAATAGAACGGGGGAATCATCAATTCGCCCCTCCGCTCCGCTGTCCTCGCAGCAGATCCCAAGGTCCACCATCGCTTCGTCTCTATCAATGGGTCCACAACACTGTGCTCTATCCATGAGGCAAAGCAGCTCGTCTTGTGCAGGGGAAGGTCGCAAGTGGGAGGGCAATGGGAGGGCGGAACGAAGGGAAGTGGGGGAGCATGCTTCACGAAGCAATCTCCCCTCCCTCCCCTGTCCTCGCACCAAATCCCAAGGTCCACCGTCGCAAGGTCCCTGACTCGGTCCATGAGAGAGAGTGGCTTGTCCTGGGTGCAAATGGATGGAAGGGTTAGAGGGTCGAAAGGAGGGTTGTGGAGGAAAGGGGTCAAAAGAAGGTCATCACGCAATCGGTCATCGGCTGCGCTTGAGAGAATTCTAAAAAACACCCTGTAAACCAACGGGTCAGAAGCGCAATTGCCCCTCTGCTGCTGTGTTCGCAGTGATTCCCAAGGCCCACCGCTGCATCGTCCCTTGCACAGTCACCTTCTGTCATTTTCAATTTCAGCGCCCTTTCATTCCGTTGAAACTTACCTTGGTTGCATTCCTTCGGACTGCTGCCCGGACATCGTCGCGGAAAGTTGAGAAGCCTTGAATGTAGGGCAGCTGAAAAAACAGAACGGCAATTTTTGGGAAATCAAGGCAAAAAAGAAAAGTCACAGGATAATCATGGGCATAACTGCTGGATGATATATCAAACATCAAGCAAACGCGCGATGCGAGCCACTTGGTTCTCACGCTGACTTCTCAGTGGCCAGTATCTCGAACCAGGAAAACTCAACTCACCACTATGGCCTCCTTGGATTGTTCCGCCCCTGCCCCTGCTGTGGCTCCTGTGCTCATGCCAAATGAGTCGAGGCTTGAATCCAGCAGACCTGCAACGTTTACAGGTGGTAACAAGGGAAGGTGGTCACGCATGCAGTGCAGTGCAGGTAGGAAAGGAAGAATTTCCTAATGCAGGTGCAGTGCAGGTTACCATCATATGACAACAGCATATGAAAGTCTTAGGATGATATGATACAAGCGTGGCCATGCACAAAAAAATAGACAGGCAGAGCTGCAACGGCTCACAGCTGCAGCCAGAAACTGTGGAGTTGTTTTATCCTAAGCTAATTCTTGAATTACAGCAGCGACGTACCAAAGACCTGCAGAATCCGAGACACAAACTGGGCGGCGGACTGCAGCAGGAGAGGCCGTGGCCGGCGTTTTTTGGCGGATGCGTCTTTGAGATACACATTGGTGGCTGAGATGAGGTCGAAGAGCGCTGAGATGGCCCCCGCCGTGTCAAAGTTGTCCTCCAGTCGAGCGCGGACCTGACAGTCGGAGGGGAGGAAGGGGGGGGTGTGTGGGGGGAGAAAGGGAGGAAGAGGAGATGAGATCAAAAAGTGCTGAGATGGGCCCTGCCGTGTTGAATTTGCCTTCCAGTCGAGCACGGACCTGACATTTCGGGGGAGGGGAAGGCGTATGGGAGGGGAACGAAACAAGGAGTGGTGATGAGCGCCGACATACACTCACAATCCCTCTCCCAAATTCCTAGAAACTCCCTCACGTACTCACTCCCTCACGCACTCACTCCCTCACACACTCACTCCCTCAGGCACTCACTCCCTCACGCATCATCTTCCTCAGCCTGTGCTACAGCAACATTAGCATTCGACCCCCTTTCCAAAATGCTCCATGTATCCTCCATCACTCCCTCTCTCTCACTCCCTCTCTCACACCCCCTCCCCTAACACCCACCTCAGCCTGTGCAGTCGAAACAGCCGCATTCAGTGTCTTCTCCAGAGCGCTCCATGCCTCCTCGCCCTGCTCCCCCTGTTGATGGATAACAGGCGGCAAGTGGTGAGCATGGGAAAAGAAGGACAGCATGCGGGGGGGAGGGGAGGGGGGAAAAGGAAAAACTGGTGAAGTGTTCTTGGGAATTCTAAAAAGCATGACAGGGGCACGGGGGAGGAGGAGGAGGAAAAACTGGTGAAGACCATAGCAAGGAGGACTGGTTTGAGTCGACTCAAGAGCAGACGGACGTGGGTGGGGGGGGGGAGTG